CAAAGACATAAACTCCTAGGGACAAAGGTGTGATGAACGTTGCTTCGTTTTTCGGAAGCGCATAGCAGGCAGTGAGATACGAACCGGTGTTTCCCTAGCCCTTCACCCTTTGACTCAGTCTCTGACCTATGGCGAACGAGTGGGTTCATGCGCGCACTTTCTCGTCTGTGGAACGTAGCGAACGCATGCGAACGCATTGATATTCGTCACAAACACAAGCCCCAGCCAAGGATCCTACGGGTGTTAGGTACTGATTTCGCTGCATTGCAAAGGGCTCATTGCCAGAACGGCTCTTCACAATACTGAGCAATGACAATCAAAATACAAATGCTGGTCCGTCTGGTCCTAACAATAATGTTTCTAGCAATAACAACAATAGCAACAATAGACGTCAAACCCAACAAAGAAAGTTCAGGGTTCCCTCTCAGCCCTCGGCCAGCCGCTCACTGTTCTTCTTGTACTCCTGGTTTGAGAAATTGAGATGCGCAAGGGTGGTCCTATACGGAGTGTCCAAGGTCTACTGGAGCATCTTGGCATGCAGCTTGATAGGCAGCAAACTCACACTGATGCAGGAGGAGGACGGATTTGGCACGACAACACGTGGCAATGCTTGGCAACACGACCCTGGATTCCACGCCACACCTCGTTCACGTTGTCCAGGACCTGGGTTTTCGACAGAACTGCGATGAATTGCGGAGCGCGCGGTACTCCAACCGGGACCCCTGGGTCTGGGCCCGGGCGTGCCCAAGGGCCCTCTCTGGGCCCGCGGCATTCTTCTGGTAGGCTGCAGGGACCCACGAGCCGACGACGTCCAGCTGGCCTTGGGGAGACTTGACGGGCGGAGCCAAGTGAAGGGCTGTGATTCAAAGCTGATATCCAGAATGCGATCTGGTGTGGGGGCAGCTCTCTTCGTGTTCCATCACGCAACTACCTGATGATACCGGAAATCCGCCGAGGCCGGAGGCCTGAGGCGTTTAGATCCAGGTCTAAGCGCGAGCTCCTTTTAGCGCGGAATAGGTACCTTTCTTAGGGCCCCCCACCCCACGCCCACGCCCCCAGCCCCCCACCCGCCCTGCGCCCCCTACCCCCACTATTGCGTGTTGTGGACCCTTTTCATGATCATTCCGCTCTCACCCACCCCTCTTCCTGTCTCCCACAGCATGTTGCGGCATTCCCGACCCTTGCGTTCGCTCTGTCGTGGGACTGTCCGCGGAATTCGCTGAGGGTGGGTATCTAAGGGAAACTGGGCGTGGAGGCGAAAAGCACACCAAGGGTGGGGAAATGGCAGAAAGGCACTTTTGCACTTTTTGCAACACGAAGTCACGAAGCACTCCAACGCACTCCATCACTCGCGAGCATCCCTTCTGGGGACCTTGCGCTGCTTCCAAGCCTCCAGCTCCTCGGGCGTCTTGCAGTCAGAGGCCGAGTAGGGCACCTGCAAGGATGGCCGGAATGATCGGGCAACCCGCAGCCCGCTCCCGGGTGAACAAAACACCACAAGTCGCAGTAGAAGCATGGGGTGGAACTCGGACAAACATCAAGCGCTGAAAGTCTTTGTACCAGAACATGTCCCGCCAACACCTTAAAGAATCAGGTATGTGCTGCTACACCGCATACAAGTGGCAGCGACGTGCAGCCACGAAGACTCTAAGCTCCAGGTTACGCACGTGACATGCGATATCATATAAAACTCCCCTTCAAAAAGCACCGTGCCTGCTGCTGCTGGTTCTGCTGCTGCTGGAACTGCCACGGCACAGCGTGTTTGCTGTCTTTCGCACCAAGCCCAATACTTGGAGGTCAGCGGCAGGCCTTCATCCAGTCATTGCGGGTGTACTTGCCCATGTACTGCTGGACATCCATGTACCTGGACATGCGTTGGGTCTGCTCTCGGGAGATCGGCGTCTCATCCCCCCCATGGGAGGAAGATCGGAGAGATAAGATTCCTGGAGAAGATTTTGGGACTCTCAATCTTCAATCGCAGGAGATTGGAACTAACCTCGCCCCGGGCTGTAGATTGAAGATCCTGGTCTTCAATCCAGGAGGGATTTCATGTTCTCTCCGGCGATTAGAGCCAATCTCCTGCCTTCAACCTTTGACCCTTATGAAAGCCTCAACTCTCCAAAATTACAATAAAAAAAAACGCCCTATACCCAAACCGAGGCAAGAAGCCGAAATGCGTTTAGATAACTGGAGGTTGTTTCTATGTGTACGTTTGTGTCTATTTTGTATCGAGTGGCAAACCACAGGCGCGTGTGGAAGGAGCGTCTTAGGTTTCACAGCTTCATATCCCAGGGCTCCGCAGCCCGAGCTGCAAAAGATTCAGGCAATGTGCGGCATGTCCGAACCCACTTGACTGTTTCCGTGGGAAGCTGAATTGTGAGATTGCGGAGGCCCTGCCCTCGAGTTCGTTTGCTGCAAGAAAGCCCTTCTGGTGCATGACACTTATCTTGCACGTACAGGGGAAACCGAACTTTCCAGGCAGCCCTGCCTTGAACCTGTCAAAAGGTTGTCATGTCAAGGTTACTTGCAGCTGTGGGTACTGAAAGCGTCTCAGTGCTGTGAAGAAGTTTCCTTCCTCAGCTCTTCGGAGTCAGGCTGCGGCTTGCAGAGGAGAAAGTTAAATCGGGCGGGGTCACTTCTGGAAGTCGTTTCCTCCTGCCTTGCCAGAGCCTCCCATGTACCTCAGCGTCATGAGCTGCGTTTAGAGATCTGGACTTCAGATGGTTGGACTGGAAGGCAGCTGAATCTGGAACCCTCATGCCCAATCGCAGAGTCTACAGAGGTCTGCAGAACAGCTCCAACGAGCGCACTTGGCAAAGTCGGCGGCTCCACCCTCTTTCCCGGATCCTGCAAGGGGTGAACTTTGCGAAAGCTACGGGCTGCTTAGGGCATGTGCGGCATGCACATGCAAAGTTGGACACAGCCAATGACAGTCGTGTATGAGCCCAAAGGACGAAGCCAGACTTCGATATGTCCCAATCTACTGGCCCTGTGGCCGCCACGCTGTTGTACCCTTCAAACCAGGAAATGCACGTAAGTTGTATGCAGCAGGTCGCACAGCACTTGCACAGACCCGGAACCACCAATGCGCCACCGGGCCTCCACCCATGTACTTGGAGAAGTCCATGTACTGCCTACCCGAAGGCGTTGGGCTATACAGGCAACAAGCTTCTGCGAAGATGAAGTCGGGCAAGGTTTGCAAGGTTTCCTGAACCTTCATACTCTGTTCGCTAGAAACAAAGAGGAAACAGAGGTCAGACTGTTGGGAGCCAGGGGCCCGACTGGTAGTCTCCACTACCTCCGGAACCTCCGGAGCCTGGGCACAGAAGGCGACGGTCAGGGACTTTTGTAAGTCGCTTTTTGGGGAACTGGGAAGCAACTGCTGCAAAACGTAAACCCGGGACCACTGATAGCTCTAAGCCTGCAAGCATCAGCCACCGCCACTTGGCGTCGGGCCGCCTGGGATGTACTGATGGTAGTCTGGGATGTACTGCTGGTAGTTGCCCTGTCCACCCTGGCTTCATGGGCCCCGGCGACGCTCGAGCACTTGGGGAAAAGCAGCAAAAGCAACAAAAGGCAGCATGAGTGCCTTTGTAAGGTAAGGTGCATGGGACAATGTGACCCTGTCCATGCGGCATGGAATCCGCGTGACTCTTGTGTACGATGTTGGACATCTTTGCATTCACCCGAACCCAAACCTTAAACCCTGAAACCTTTCTTGGCTATTGCGCATCTAAATCTAAGGGTCCCCAATCTCTTCTTTCTGATGCACGGGGGGGGGGGGGGGGGGGGGGGCGGCCTGCTTGGAGTCCGCCTTGGCAGCACCCGCATCCGACCTCGTGGGCCATTTCCAAGCTTACCATGTGAAGCCATGCTTTGAGACCTCCCAAGAAGCCCTGGATGGCCTGAGGCTTCATACCCTCAACAAGCAAACCTCAAGCGCTCCGAAGTGAACAGCGTCCCCTCCTCTGCCCCGGCGAATCAACTGAGGACACGGGCGCGGCAGCGAAGCTGACTGCGGCATCCTCAAATCCGAGGGGCACTTGATGGTTGGCTCAGGACCTTCGCTAGAAGCTAAAGCTGGGGTGGGTATTTGCGTGTATATAACTCCTGGCCATTCAGCAGCCACAAAGAAGCCTCCCGGGCTCCTGAAGCCCCAAACCGAAAGCCGAAGGCCTTCAACTCGCTGCGTGCCTTGGTCTTCGAAGACTGGTCCGGCGTGTACTTCCTCGGACAGAACTTCGCTGACGGGAGTGGTTTATGCTCATGGGATTTAGCTTCCAGATGCTTCGAGGGTGGGTTGAAGGGACAAGCTCGATTAGAAGTCGGCTCTTCTGAGAGGCACAGATGGTCTCCAGCTGCCAAGCTGCTGTTGCAAGCCCAAGCTGTACAAAAAGGCTATGGAAAGCAAGACGAGCAGTTGCCCTCAGTAAGGAGCCTTTAAGGTCTGCGGGGCCGAGGAGTCATTCCGTAGCTGGAACTGGAACAGGCCAAGTCGCCCATAGTCTGCACCTGATCCCTGGCCATTGCCTGTACAAGGATCGTGGACTCGGGGGCTTCGAACTATCTACAGGTGGAAACTTTCTGGCCCATGGGCGGAGCCTGACATGTACTGCTGGTAGTTCATGTACTTCTGCCAGTCCATGTCCTTCTTGAAGTCCATGTACTTCCTAGGTGCAGTGCATGTGGACATGAGAGTTGAAGTGTTCCTCCCGGCCCCTCTTCTCAGATTTCCCAAGGGCTTCTGATCTGAGAGAGAGAGAGAGAGACAGACAGAGATAGGGACATCGAACGACCGTCTTCGGTCAGCATACACTACACAAGTGGGAAGCTTGGTACTGCAAGAACATCATCCACGACTGTCCCCAATCACCGGCCCCCTCTTGAGCAGGATCCTTGTGATCCCCAACTCTTCTGCCGAGAGGCTGATAGTCGGCTGCACCGCCTGGCAAGGTTGCGGGCTTGGGGGTGATAAGAAGTGCCCAGATACAGCAAGAGTCTTACGTAGGGCTCTTCGAAGCCTCGCTTGTTGGGGCAAGCCCTGTCCGGCCAGTGGGCCAAGTGCCCGGCTCCGCAGCCTGAAGTGGGGTGAACCCTGAGTCCTGGCCTGTGTACTGCGAGTAGTCCATAAAGCTGACGGGTCCACCCTGGCGATCTTCGCCACTGGGATTTGTTTTTGGAAGTGTGACGAACATGAATCCACCGAGGCCTAAGGGCACCGTAAGGTGGGGGAGGTTTGAGGGACATGAACATCCACACGCCCTGTGTACCAACTTCCCATGGATATCCCACTTCAAAGTCGGTTTAGGCACACACAGAGGATGCAAAATGTGTTGCCCGGCCCTGCTCTTTATCCAGTGGCATTCTTCGAGCTGGATGCTCTGCATTGCTCTGCCTTGCCATCTCCGCTCTGCTTCATGTACTTCTGGAAGTCCATGTACTGCTTGAAGTTCATGGCCTCTTCATTCATCTTACACTAATCTAAGGCTCATGGACTCATGGCCCTATAGTGACTGTAACAGTGATTCAACCTCACGCCCCCGACCACACATGGTGGCCACCTGGTGGCCCTGGCCCTGGACGTACTTCGAGTAGTCCATGTACCTGCAGGTGAAAACCCCCCTTGCCCAGTCTCATGGCCCGGATGAACTAAGGGCATCCTCAGGCCCCTGAGGTTCGAGAAAAAAAGACTCACCGAGAAAGAGAGAGAAAAAGAGAGCGTGGAGGGCAGCAGAGCGATATTGGCTTTAAGTTTAGGGAGTTTTGGGTATTGGGGGAACTTGGGGCAAAAAGAGCCGCTTTGCTGTCATGTGGCTGTTGGTACGAGGAGCCACCAGATGATCCTCCCTGAGACATGTACTTCCTTGGTCGCACGAGTGGGCGAGCAGGGACTCTCTTTCGTGGGCTTTTGGGAGCTGCATGTAGGGATTCAGGGTTTAGGGGACACCCTCGGAGATCACCTCAACAGAAGCAGCCGAGCAGCTGGTAGTCCATGTACTGCTGGGGGTCCATGGCACCTCCGCCGCTGCCGCCCATGCCACCCATGTACTTCGACCAGTCCTGAGAGGCGCGAACTTTCCACAAAATGCGGACACGCCGTTTTAGGGATGGGGTGTAGGCTATAGAGGGTGGTGTTCCCGGTCCTAGAACACTCAAAGCGCCTGCAAACTGGCTACGAGTACTGTCGAGTCATCATTTGGCTGGCGAGTCTACGAATTCAGCATCAATCTGTGGGGCATGGGCGGCCGAAACCCCGACTGGACATTACACGGCCTTGAAGTGGCCACGTTTGCTTCGCTTGGCTTGGTCGGGTTCTGAGAAGCAGCCAATTACAGAAGCGCACAGAAAAATCAAACCTGAAAGAAGCAAGCGAGCGGGCAGAATGCAGCAATGATACACACACACACACACACACACACACACACACACACACACACACACACACACACACACACACACACACACAAGACCAGACAGGCTGCAAAAACAGGCTGCAAACAAAGCTCCAGAGAACGGAAGCCTGCACAACATGTGAAGTTGTCAAAGACGAAACAAGAATCGTGAGAAAAGACACAAAATCGATCACTCGGCAGCCGGTATTCTCACTACCTGCGGGTGCAGCCAAGGCACCCCACTCATGTACTTCTGGTAGTCCATGTAGCCCCTCAAGTTTAGACTTCAAGCTCCAGGCAGAGCGCTTTCGGGCTTTAGGCCCGAAGGAGTGCCCCTTTGCGGCCTACTGTCAAATCTTTGCTCTTCAAAATCCGAGACTCCGAGAGCGATCTACCTCCGAAGCCACACCCAATCCACAAAGACTTGGGAGTTTCCAAGAAGATAAGGATACCCCTTGCATACCTACAAGCAAATATAACATAACCCCTCCGCATGAACCCCCAAAAAAACTCGGCAGCTGAGATCCCTGCGACTGCGGTTTCTCAGTCTCTGCCTCTTCAGCCTTTGTCTCATCTTCCTGCGCCAGGAACGAGCCCGGGGTTCTTCCAAACTTGCAGTCTCTCTTTTGGGGTTTCTGGGGACATGTACCTAAAATTGGCCCCCTGATGCGAAGCCCTAAACCCTAGTGCGGACCTCTGTCCAAGGTTTCCGAAAGTGGCGCGGCGCTTCCTCAGTGACCTTTCGACCCAAGCCCTCGCTGCTTCGTAGACCACGGCGTCCTCTGAGTGTTTCTTGGAGTGCCGATGTGAGGACTTCGACTTTTTCTCCTGGCGCGACGCACTTGCCCAAGCAAGACTCATTGAACTGGCTCTGTATTGTTGCTTGACTCGTAAAGCCTCTCGAAACCCCAACGAGCCCCATGGCAACCCCGTAAGTTGCGCCTCCGCTGCGAAGGAGACAGGGCCTTGGCCTTATTCGCAGGAGGTTCACGAATTGGGGGGGGGGGGGGGGGAACGAGGGAGGGATGGGGGAGGGGGGAATCACATAGACAAGGGGCCGATTGTTCTAGATCAAGAATAGCTTGCAATAGAAGCTCCCAACAATGAACCAGGCCCTGCAACGTAGATCTCCCTTGCTTGCAGGGGTCTAAGGGCACAGGGTGCAGGTTCAGGATCTGGGGTTAAAGGCCTTTGGTCTTAGCCTTCGGGTTCCCACATCGGAGCTTGCTTAGCTTTGCGACATAGGTGCAGAGGCCGGTTCAAGAATGCCGGGCTCATATCCTAAAGCTCCAGAACGACCCAGACTGGGAAACCGTACAAGCCGGATAAACCTCAGCAAGCTGAACTTTTAAAACCGAAGCCCTGCGGCTCACACAGGTTCCCGAGGCCTGCGCCGCCGTGTTCCTTCAGATAGTTCTGAAGCCTCAAAAGAATTGTCACGAGAAACTGTAGTGCTGGTGCCTGAGGCAATATATGGGCTTAGGGTTTCGGGAGCCTCTTTCGTGATCTTGCAAACAAAAAAAGCGACCCGACATCAGTTGGAAGCCAGTCGAAGCGGGGGACGGCCTCTGGCCCTGATCCCTAAACCCAACGGCTCAGACCTACCACATCGAGATTCAAGCACCCAAGCGCGTAGTAACTTCTCGGGAACGGCCTAAACAGGACTGTGTCACGAATCGATGGCTCGGGAAACACCCTCACCACCCTCAACACCACCCTCAACACCAGAACCCCCCCGCAAAAAAAACCCTCAACCCTTCCCCTAAATCCTGAAAGCACTAAACCTAAACGCCAACCCTAGACCGAAACCTCCTCACTTCTCCACTTGAGGTCCAAAACCCAAAAAGCAGCTCCAAGCCCCGGGCTCCGCGAAGTGGTGGAAGTCCTGCGGCACATCCTGGCAGCAGTCGTTTTACTAAGATTTGGGGGGGGGGAGGGGGGGGGGAGAAAGGGGGGGCAGGGGGGGGGAAAGGGGGAAGGGGGGGGGGGGGGGGATGGGGGGGGGGGAAGTGGGAAAGGGTGGCGGGGGGGGGGGGTGGGGAGACGGGGGGGAAAGAAAGCTAGTTCGAGGGGCCACCTTCTTTGATCGAGCCTCTTTGTTTGCTTCGACTTGGGCTACGTTGGGCTGAGCTTCAAGCAGACGTGACAAAGTCTCGAAAAACACTTTGCCATACCGCCAACGCAGAACTCGCTCTTCCCAGCCTTTCCGCCGCTGGTGAACTTGCGCACATTGAGGTAGTGGCTGTAGTCTGGCGCCGCAGGAGCTTGCTGTCCTGCAAGGGTCCAACGGTGGCTCCACCGTCGAAAAAATCACCCTGCGGCTTGCTGGACGCGGCCGATGTGGCCTGCCGTGTACTGCTGGAAGTTCAAGTACTCGTCGAAGGACGGGGTTGATCCGCCCTGGCAGATGTATTCCGCTCGCCCACACGATGTGCCAAACACACTCACATGAGAGGCGGGAGCTCGTCGCTGGGCCTGCATGGTCATGTACTTCGAGAAGTCCTGTCAATTTTGCATCAACGAGGTCTGAAACACCATTACCCTGATGGCATAACGTTTTCTGGCAAGGCCCCATCACAATAGTCCTCGTACTGCGCATGGTTCGTCATGTACTTGTTATAGTCCATGTACTCCTTCGACAGCCAACAGCAAGCTCCGTTTGAATCGCCAGAGGAGCCTGGCTTTCAGGCTGGACCATCTTGGACAGACGTGATCCCTAAAGCCGCAAGCCCAACTACAAATTCAACTCTAACCGTCTAAACCCTGAACATCCCTTTGTATCTCTTTAAACTCCCATTTAAAAACTTGAGAGAAATAAAAACAAAAACGGCTCCTGAAAGTCGACAGGACCGGCCCCGTGGCCACTCAGGTATTGGGAATAGTCCTGGTTGAAGATTTCAGGGTCGCTTCATTCTCTTTTGAAACCCTCAACCCTTACTAACCCTTACAAACCCTGAAACCTCAAAACCTTAATCCTGAACCGTTTACTTTGGCTTCCGGGGCCCCGGAAGCACAAGAAGCGCATGCACCACCCACAAGAAGTGCATGCACCCCCTCCTAAGGCCCCCGAACAGCACCCCTAAAGGCGAAGCGGAGCGAATTTTCGGAAAGTTTTGGGGTTTGATCTCGGGTTCAAGCATCAGACTCCGGTTTAGGGCACTTTTGAGCTCATGGAGAGCCGTCCACCTTGGCTCACAAAACGGCTGCAGCTTCCCACGTTCTGAAGCTGCTCAATTTGCGTGATGCTCTCAAGTTTTTCGCTCCTGCTCTTAGGTTCGAAGCGTCTGCTATGATTTTTGTCCTGGAGCTCGATAAGTGGTTGACTTCAGCGCACCGCCCGCACCGCGTTTCGACAAGAAAGGCGCTCTGCAACAGCCCTGGCATGGAATTACAGTTCGCAGTTCGCGAAAAGGCGGGGCGGGGAGGAGGAATGTTCAGAGCCCCCAGAGTCCGAGATCCCAGGCACATGACGGCCTTTATCATCGAACAAGCGAGGACACCCACCTTCGTCGAATTTAGCCTTGGGTTTTTTCTGGCTCACAAGGCATTGCACTGATTTCATGGATTCCGCAAATAAATTGTGCCATGGATTCATTGCACGAGCATTGCAAGGCCGTTGCATGTCCAAACTAGACCAGACTTGCACCCCCACGTCCTGGTAGCCCTGCGCCTGGTCGGGCTTGTGCTCCTGCAGGCTTCATGAGGGATAGCAGCGGACAGACTCGAGACAGAAGATGGCAACAAGCAGGACCACAGGAGCAGCAGCGGGAGCACCACCGCATGCACCACCACATGCACCATCACATGCACGAGCTCAAAGGCAGCAGGAAGTCTTGGTGGTGAGCACATTGGTGGAGCTCATGTTGGGTTTGGTGCGTTGTCGGTGGTGGGGCTGTGGTGACACTAGCGGCGCGGCAGAAGTACGAGTACTAGTCAGACGGGTGACCGCAGCAGCAGCAATCAGAAATCGCATTGTGGCCATCGCCTCCAGAGTCATGAAACACTTTTGGGGCACACGTCCTGACTCAACATCATGAAAACATGCATGCATGTGTACTGGTGGACTACTCTTCTGGTGGCAGCCACAGCGTTGTTGCCAGTCGCCACAGTAGAAGGTCTACCATAAGGGTTGTGCACCGCATCATGCCTGTCCTTGGAAGCCTTCTGGAACTCCATGAAGTCGAGATACTTCCTTTCAGGTCTTAGTGTTGAAGTATATGCGCCGAAGCCGGTCAGAATGTTAGGCGGGGTGGTGTGCATTTATCCGGAGACGCGCTTCATGCTGTTGGCTTGAGGTAGTGAGTGTTGGCGCCAGGGTCTGGGAGGATGTGGACATGCGCAAGGAGTCGCTTGCGAGGGCTGCAATGAGGTGACTTTGCTGAAGAAGTTAGGTGTGCAGAGAAGAGTCCCAAACTGCCTTGAACAATCCTGAACATATGGTTTTCATGGGTAGGAAGCCATCGGCTGCAGGTGCCAAAGCGGTGGGCTGTGAGCCACATACCCCCCAAAGAGCATACAGCAAGCCCATACCTGGTACTGTATTTGCTAGGCCAGTGTGGTTGCAAGGACTGACTTTCGTACCTGTCCGGAAACAAGTTCTACTGAGCACCTTCTTGTGAATGGGAAACCGCAAGCACCACGCTTCAATTTCCCAGCTCCAGCGTGCATACAGATCTATTGGAGACAGGCTGCTGGAAGCTGGAGACATCGTCCTCATGCCTGTGAAGCAAGCAGGTCTGTCAACAGCGATTAGCCCAAGAACTATGTCCAAAGTATGCAAAGCGGCATCTCTCCAAAGAAGCATGGAAGGCTACTGAAGCCTGAGGCGTTAAGACCTCCTCCCTCAATCTTAGGCCCGCACGCTGAGTGGCCATACCTGCGCGAGAATCACTTCGGGCACTTAGAGTTCCGGGCAAGGACAGAGTTTAGGGTTCGGGGCACAAGGGACTGTTTCATAACCTTCAGAACATGCTACTGTTTTGGAAGTTCGTGGTGAGTTTAGGACATACGAAAGAACATCGTCGAAGTTCAGGACGGCTGAGACCGCCTCTGCATCCACTGCTTGAAGTCGTTGTAGTTGGCTGCCTCCGGTAAAAAAAAACTGCCCTACCCGGCCCCCAAAGAAAGCATTCGCATGGGCATGGTATCAGTGAAACTGAACATGCGACACCAGGATTCAACCTTTCCATCATCACCCTATCCCCAGCGAGGATTCCAGCAACTCTCACTTGCCGGGCGTCCCTGAGGTCCAAGCAACGCCTTGCTCCTGAAAGAGCAGGAGAAGGCTCCCTTCTATGGGCCTCTAGATCCCCGTAGATCCCCGTAGAGCCGTAGAGGTCGGAGGCTGCTGAGGTCCAGCTCTCTTTTGGGCCGCTGAGGTCGCACGAGTCCATTGAGGCGATACCGGATACCCAAAGATCATGGTCAGTGTAGGCGAATATTCACGAAAACTACCTGGGATCTCTGGCATCGCCCCTTTGCACATGACGCACCGCGGTCGGCAAACAAAGGAAAAGCGGGTTGTTTCTGCGACCGCGGCCAACTGTTGTTTCAGACACCTCCATAGAGATGCTCTATCGAACAGAACCTCTAGAAAAAACATCTGCTCAGCCCGTGAACTGCTCAACGGGACCCTTCCCAGTCTGGAGCTCGGCGACGATTTGGCCGATGATGGCAAACATGGCGATGCGGCCGTTGTTCAGCTCCTGAGGTCACTCAGATTGAAACAAAGCTTGACAAGCGAGAGCAGAGATGAGCAAAATGCGCTCTGCAAGCCCTCCCAGGCTCGGAGCCATGCTCCTTCGTTCGCATCTCCTTGGTGTACTGGTTCCACTTGAAGGGGTCGCCGAAGCTGCCTGGCTCCTTGACGGGTGAGTTTCTCAGCAGGAAATTGATTTGATGCATTGACAATTGATTACCCCGTGACGAACCGGGCTCCTTGACGGGCTTCCAGGTCACTGCCTGCCAAAAGGCATTGAGAAGCACTTTGAGCACAGTCGTTCTGTCGTTCTAAAGCACATGCTTGTGCCGTCTGCGGATTGTTTCGAATCCCTGTAGACCCGAAGCTCCTCGTGGCCGGCGATCAAGAAGAAGAGGAGCGAGAAGCCTTCCAAGCCCTTGCTGGTCTGGAGAGCCGCCAGACCGGTAGGCACGTCCTCGAAGCCGGGGATCTTGTAGAAGTGCGCATACACAGACCCCACAGCAGCCATCATGGCAAATCTCCCGTGCCTTAAAGAGGGAAAGAGCATGTCAGCATGTCAGCATGTCATGGCAAGAAGGTGCTACGAAAGGTTGCAATGCAGCGATGGCAGTGGCTGGGTTCCTTGCTTGATTTCAGCAGCTCGCAGATGCTTGAATCCCGTCGAATCTCCCGGGAAGGTCATGAGGCCACTCTTGCTGAAGCCCAGCGGGTCGAAGAACCCGAGTGGAGCGACCGCACCCGGCTGCTCCGAGGGCACCAACGGCGTCTCCGGCGCATCGAAGCGGAAGCGGCCCTGGTCGTCCGTGGTCAGGACTCCAGCACGGGCCACTCGGGCCACCCTCTTTGCACGAGAGGCGGCCACACCCGCAACGCCCACGATGCCCACGGTGCCCAGTGTCAGACCAGCAGCACTTCCAGTTGAGGACTGGCTGGGTGCCTGAGCAATCTGAGCATAGTTGCGAGGGGCCCCGTGGCTCTCAACCGCCGCGCTGGGGCCGGCAGTGAAAGCAGGCGCACCAAGCAGCACAACAGCTGCGGAACCAGCGGCCAGGGCAGCACACTTTCGGGACTGAGCCATGGGGTCGAAGGAGTTCTACAGCAAAAGTTAACCGAACAGACCTACCTCCGAGCCACAACAGATCGACCTGGCATCTACCGGCCCTGCAGCCATGACCTTGTGCGATGCAACCTCTCCCACCTTCCTGCGCAGTCCCTCTATGCTGCTGTCTACATGTCCCTGCATCTCGCTGGATCTCCCTGCATAACTTTTCTGAGCTTCGATGGGCGCCATCGCGAAGGTCAGCCTAAGACAAGGCTCCAGGCGCCCTCGGCAGCCAAGTGGAGCGGGCCAGGCATCGTTTCCTCGCGGAGCATTTGAACATCTGCTGTCACTAGGTTTTGGTTGTGCCTTCGAACTTCGACATGTCCTAACCCTTTCCTTACCCTTTTCTAAGATTCTCAGCGGATGTTCATTCGATGCTGTTGCGGCTGGATATTGGCCTCTTACGAACCCTAAAAGTTAATGCGCAGTGCTTCGAATCTGTTGGTGCGTTGATCGCTGCTCATCGTCTTTGTCCTGCACCCCCAACTGACAGAGCACTTTCGGAAAGCGTGGAAGGCACTCTAGCCCCGCAATGCAATGGGGGCTACCCTGACCACTGATTCCCATCTTTCATGCGTAAGAAGCACGCACACCATTCCTCGCATTTCAGCGTTGGTTCAGCGCCTTTACTGCTGAAAGCAACCACAGCGGCTGAGCAAAAGAATGTTCGCATTCACTGCGGCCGGATATCTCCTTAACTAGTACACTTAGTAGCGAACAGATGCTACCGCTAGACCAAAGTGCGGAAGCACGTGCCTGCAGCTGAAAGCGCTTTGGCTGGCGCACCAGTGACCCCATCAGGCAGATCGCGGCCACCTGCGCACCAACCCCTCTCAATCACTGAGACCTCTAGATTTTCCTGTGAATGCGACCTGCATGTGTGCAAAAGAGAGTCTGCTGGGCCACGCACACTATCTACTTGACGTTGTTGATTCGTCTCTCTTGTGTATTGCCAACCGTCAGACACGCAGCCACAGACAGGGGCTCTGGGCTTCTTCCGGGCTCAAGCCAAGGTGCCAGGACGAAAGCTGCGTACAGCGGACCGATGGCCACGCGCCGCGTGCCTGGCGGCGAGAAAGAACCGGGACTCGCCCCCAAAAAAAAGGGGGTGCTGCAAGCGCCGTTTGGGCCAACAAGGTCTCCAGGAGAGGCGTAACAGGGTGCAACCGCATTCCGGTCAGACACTACCCTGATCTCCCAAAACACCGACACGCACTTCCCGAGGCCATAAACCCCGAAAGCTTCAAAGCGAGACCACAATGCGCCTGGCGCCCCCTTGCGGACGGCAACGAACCGCGTCCACCCTGGCACCACAGCTCTGCAGAATCGAACTTCCCAGCCGGGGTTTAGGGCTGCCAGGCGCCTATCAGCAGCGTGGCCAGCCCAGAGCAAGAGAGGACTAAGGTCACGAACACGTCCACCACAAGCTCGCCTGTCAGCACACCCTGCTCAATTCAAGACCCGTCGACTTGCCAAATCCTCACAGACTGTCACATACACAGGCCTAGAACAGGCAACTGAAACGTCGAACTCAAGGAAGGCATCAGCAGTGTTCGTTGACAGGATGTCGAAAACGTTGGCATTGCACACTGCACAAGCTCAGCAAAGACACCGGAGCCCTTGTGAATGTCAGCAGCGACGCCGGGGATTTGAGAAGCACACATGTGCTTCGAGCAAAAAACATTGCAAGGTTTCGGGAGGAGGCAAGCGCGCCAAAGTGATCAAACTACTTGGACTTGGCACAACCCGCTCACCGAGCGGACAGTGGCCCAGGCCGAAGACCCACCGCCAATTGGGTGAAGTAACTGCAGAAAGCTGCTCTCGAGGTTTCTTGGTTATATACAGATATAGGCATAATTGGCATCGACTTTGAGCGCCGAAAACGCAGCAAAAATCCTCGCCTGTTTCCGACAGCGCTGAACTACACTGGCAGGATGCGAAGCATGTGAAGCACAGCAGCGTGTGCTTTCGTACCGGAAAGTAATGATATGTAATGATACTACTGTGGTCGTGTTCAAGATGGAAACAGTCCAGGGGTGAGGGGGGTTCCGGCACGTGTTCTACAAAGCTGCTGCAGGGAGACGAACTCGTCCCACCTAAAAACATATTCGAAAGGCTCTCCCCTGACAGCAATCAGAACCATCAGAGCTCACGTGATGGACGCGACTGCACCCAAACAACCACTCATTAAGCACTCAACAGTCATGCATCTGAGGCTAAGTGCTCAGCACGTCAAGCCTAAACTCGGCATATCCCCTTGGTCGCATTCTTTATCACTCGTCGCTTTCCCGGACTAAAGCAAACCCTTCTCCGATCATCTCTCAGACCACTGTGTGAGCAAAGCCGCCTTTTGTGAGGCCAGAAAGTGTAGCAAACGAGAAGACAGTCCTGAGTGCAAGCTCTTCGAAACTATGACATGTGGCCATGGTGCATGTCTTGCAAGCTTAAGAGAGCTTATGCTGCATGTCTCATGCCGGAAATCGAACAAAAAACACAGTAGCCCTGGCTACTGCAGTGCCTTTGGCACAAACAAGAAACACCCTAGCATCCATGCCCAGGAGCCGGATGGCAGCTAGACCTGCCACGGGCAAAATGTGCGAACAAAAACGATGCAAATAAACATTTTGCAGCAACTCTGGTGGTGTTCACAATGTCAATGTCTTGCCGACGGCTTCGGCCACCTAAGCCGCAGGTTCCCATCCGGCCACTCCGGGCCTGTGCGCACCCAGGCCAATAGCGTCCGCTCGTTGGCCAAATCCTCGTCCAGAATCGGGACCCGACAAGCAAAAGACGGGAAGGACTAAAGTACGAGACAAACTGTGCATGCTGCTGCCATGCTCCAACAAACCTAGCTGCGAGCTACTCGCGCTCATAATCGGTCAACAGCATTCCGATTTTCAAGCGGAAACGATCAATGTCCACGCAAAGCTGAGCATCGCAACGCACAAGGGAAAAACAACAAGCGCGTCAGCAACGGCACAGAAGGAGCAGCGGCAAAGGGATATATTGCGGACCAACACCACCACCCCCCCCCTTTTCCACGGCGCCGACATCACTGGCCGCCAACGCATCACCAAGAGCAAGAACTGACCAAGACACCAAAGCTCATTCAAGGCTTTTCAGGATGCCACCTGTGGACCTCGGAATTATGAAATCCAAGGCTCGGTGCTCAGCTGTTTGGTGTCAATGGGCTCGGACACGAGGCTCCCTGAGCTTTGGGGATTTTACATCCTTCCGAACAACTTCAGGTGCGTAATCCCATCCCATCATCCCCCGAAAATTGCAACCCCAACATGAGGACCCTAACGCATCCGTGTGCTTGGAATATCTTCAGATGTTTGAATTCGGGCTATGGAAGCCTCCGACGACGAGTTTCGGCTTCCTTCTGAGCCCCCAAACTGCCGTGATCTGAGATGGAGCGTTTCTCAAATCGCAGAGGAGCTCCCCTGCAAGCTTACCTTGGACTTTTTGAAGCGGTAAAAACCCCTCTTTCAAGACCTTGTTCGATTTCAAGCCTTTCAGAAGGTCCCTCCCGCTTCCCAGCCCGGTACACCCAACAACCGCCCCAAATCCATAAACCCTTAATCCTATAAGCCGTGCAGGTACTGGAACCCTAGTACTGGGACCCTTGCAGCCTCTAAAGGCCAACATGATCGCCACGGCACCGCAGCAGCCAGCTGCAGCCGGGTGGGCATCCGAGGCCGCTGGGGCGGCCGCTGAGGCGGCCGCTGGGGCGGCCGCAGGGGCTGCGGGCTCCGCCCTGTTAGGGTTTTCGGGGGCCTGATGTAGGGCACACCAGGGATGAGGGTCGTAGGGCCTTAGGCTTTCTGATGACCAAGATTGGGCGTGTGCGCGCAAATGCAGGGGACCATATAAACACATCTAATGGCTCAGTTAGTTGGCTTTATTGTTGGTCTTCTGGCTGCCCGACTCCACGTTTTGCCCTTGTCCACAATTCGGACGACACGCCTTCGTGGTGCGGCACATCTTTCTGACCATGCAACCTGATGCTGCCCTGCTCGTGGGAAACGATGGCGGCAAGGATACAGAAGCCTAACCGGACAAGCTTCGGTATCTTGCTGATCAGAGCGCCTGTGAAGCTCAACAGCCAAAGCCCAAGACCCCGGAGCACACTTACAGCAGGCACCTTGGATCCTCCTCCACCCTGGACCCTGAAACAGCCCGAGAAGGCAAAGCCTTTCACTAGGCGGGCGCCGGCCAACGGGCAGCACCACGCGCAGCCGGCTGCCGTCCTCAGGGCGCCGCATGTCTTGAGATGTTTGGGGCTTTTTGGGGGGTGGAACTTGGGCGCTGTTGCAGCGAGCTTCGAAATCAGGTTTACAACAACGGCGAATCGAGAGTTTAATCGATAAGTAGCGTCACTAGCTTTGTGGTTCGAAGCATCTCCTCCATGGAGGGTCTCAAGAGATCAACCCTTGAGCGTAGACACCTGAAGCCCGCCAACACAGCTTGGCAGTGGCAAGGAGGTCCGGGAGCAGCGGCGAGAGAGGCAGCGCCGCATTACTAGGCGGCTGCCCAGCCTGTCGCTGCTACAGGCCACACAGGCCACAGGCCAGATCCTATGGTTAGGTTCGGGATTTGGAGTTTAGGACTTCAGTACTAGCACCAAGATGATGTGGATGTTGTGGGGTAAGCCGTGTCATTGCAGACTCGTCAGGCCTGAAAACGCGCAACAAGGAGCTGCAACAGTTCCTCTGTAGTCTAATGCCCCAAACCCTAAACTTCCTAGAGCCGAAACCCTTTGTTGCGCCTCTGGCTCCTGCGTCACGAAGAACGGGACCGCAGGGAGGAGACCCAGGCGGTCCCTCTGCAAAAGAAGAGAACCGGGGGAGAACCGGGGGAGTTGGTGGGAAGAGAAAGAAAGCCTCTTGGGTTGAACACCTTCGGGTTTGGAAAGTTTGAATTCTGCTCAATGCACCTCAAATGGGGAAGTCACTCTGATTTGCCCCCCTCAAAAGGCGAGACTATTCAGCACTTGTGGGTTCGTGTGGCAGAGAGCAGTTGACTTCAAGGGGGGGGATTTCATGGTGGCATTCGCACAGACTGGAAAGATTGAAGACTACGTGAAGCTTCACTGATTTCTTCCTCCGAGCCGGCTTGTCGACCCGTCCACAACTAAGCCAAAGGGAGGTTGTTCTTAACTGGCTGCAAGTACCTGTTTTCAGCGCCAGGTCCCCCTAGGAGAGCCTCACGCATGCACTCAGGTCCGCGGCTGGCACGTCCAAGGACGGCACACACCTCGGGAGGCACTGGGTTGGACACTGCGGGGTCTCTCTGTGGCTCTGGGATGTGAGTGGGACTTTACGAGGGTTGAGCGACATCGAGACATCGAGGCACTCGGAGGAAGTTGGGCCGGGGGGCAATTGGAAGGTGATGGGCTGCGAATGGCCATCCTCGGATCCAGCCAAGGGCTTGGGATCTGAGCGACTGGCGGATTCTACTTGAAGGTTCTTTTGGGGAGCTCTTACCCAAACAAAGGGCCACAGCTTCGAGAACTGCCCACACTGCGTCCCCACCGCTGCTCCTCTCTTGGTTCGATGATGTCCATTCAGCCGTACACAAGTCCCAGGTTCCCCTGCCTCGATGCAGCTAATCCAGAACTGCCGCGCCATGGCACGGGGCTTCTCGGGGCTACAACGTGATGACCAGGACAGGACAGTAGCAGTTGGGCAGTGTGGAAAGTGTGACTGTCACTAGCACTGACGACCTACTGGTGTGCGGCCTCCTCCAATTCTGAGGACTTCAGTAGATGCTACAGTTACAGATGCTACAGAAGGCTACAGATGCTGCAGATGCTACCGATGCTACCGGTGCTACAGATGCTATAAATCCGAGTGTTCTTTGAGAGCTGCGCGCTGCGAATATGTGCGGACTTACTGCCCTCACAACCCCGGCTCTTTACGGCTCCAAGCCACGGCCCTGTCCCGGAAAGGAGTACACCAACCGGCCCGCTGGGAACCCGGAAGCGCAGGGCTCCTCCGCGATCACGCCTTTGACCAGGAGCACCGCCACAGCATTGCGAAGCGACCTGTCCAGGTAAAGCTGTTGCCAGCCGATTGCGGATCTGATTGTCTTCGAAGGCGCTGCCTCATCGGAACCCGGGTTGCTCCTGATCAAGGAAGACATGCTTTCTGATGCTTTCTGTGAGAAGCTGCACCAGACTACGAAAGCCTACAAGGAAGCACCCTCGTCCCTTTTATGGAGCTGCTTATGCTGCAGAGTACACAAACTAAGAGAGAAGCGCGCAAGCGCAAACTCTCATGTTTCCAAGCTGCAGCCACGGCTCAGATCCCGGAGAAGATGCGAGGGCCTCCCTACAAACGACTGAAGTTCCGAGAGCCCCCGAAGCAGCATCAAGCAGCCACAGGCAAGACCGAAACATGAGGCAGAGTTAAACTGGATTAATCATGGATGTCGGCTTCAATGTTCAAGTAAAATGACCGCCCGGAGGGGGGGGCCGTGTCGGCCAAGGATATCAGTTAAACTCGATTTTTAATTTAGGGATATTTAGGGCTCATGGCACCCTAAACCCCAAGCCCCAAACCCTAAACCCTAAACCCTAAACCCGATACACCAGGGTTTGCGAGCTTTGTCACCATAACCCCCCCCCCCCCCAAAAAACCGATGTAGGATGGAGGTTTTGGATCTCAAGGGTCCGCAAAGCTTTAGGTTACGGTTCAGGGCTTATGTATAGGGATCTTCTTATTGTTTTCCCTTACCGGGTTTAGGGTTTCGGGTTTAGGGTTTATGTATTGGGATGTTCCCCCTTATACGAACAGGCCTTCATAGCGATTATGGTACCCCCTATTTCAATCCACATTAATACCTAACAGGGTGTCCTAATCAGGCACGACGCGGTACAAAACTCGATGTTCATTGATTTTGACCCCGTCTCCGGCCTAGGGGTATTGAAATCGATTAGTTAAACTGAGTCGCTGCTCGTTGGGCCTCATTTAGGCTTCAGATTCGGGGTGTTTTGGGGAGCTTGGGGTTTCAGATTCCATTCTGCCTGCCTGTCTCCTTTTTACCGCTGTTTGCCAAGCAATCAGGTCTCACGCAGCTAACTCGTCCCGGGTCGATCACATATTGTGATATGGAAAACTAACATCCTTTGCCCGCCTCTGGCTGACAGCGAACGCCGTGCGCACTTTTCCTTCGGTCCTTATGCAAAAAACCTCTTTCAAAAATTGCTCTTCAATTGAAACTGCTATGCACTTGGCTTCGCGCTTGCCAGGGGCGAGCTAGTTGTCAGTGGAATGGCTGCAATAGCGGGACGCCCTAGAACGTCCTTTCGCAAGTACTGCAACGTACTGGCGTTGAGCTGCCATAGGATGCGTGTTTAGGCTCTGATCTGTCTCCAGCTTGCCTACGATGTTCTGTGCCATTATCCTTTGCCCCGCTTAAACGAGGAAGGGTGCCAGCGACGCGCGCAGCACATCCTGCCAAGCCAACAGCAGGCATGCCATCAGCCCTTGATCATGCTTTGATCGTGCTGCAAACCAAGGCCTGGAACTGGTCAACGGCCGTGGGGCCAGCGTTATCTACCTTCCGAACTCACTGCACGAGGCTTCACAGCACTCACCATCAAGTGTCCGCCAGGCTCTCTGTGCACCGGGGCGCTGCTGAAACGAAACAAGGAGCAGAACGGAGCAGAACCGGAGCAGAACCGGCCCGGCCTTGAGCGTCACTTGACAGGAGCTCGCCGCTAATGCCTAAGACACGACAGATCACAAAACAGCGCTCACATACGCCACTCCGCAGGCCATCTTCATGGCGTATATCCAGGGACAGCCGGTGACAGCCGTGTCTTAATGAGTTGCATGCACAGCGAATCAAGACCCTTCCACGATCTTCTGGGTGGCTGAGCCATGATCACCTCAAGCAAAAACCAGACTCCGGCAGGAGCCTGTGTTGGGCCAGCCTCCGGAGCAAGCTCTCAGATGCTGGGGACATCTTCATCTTTGGCGGAATACATACGACATACAGCTTGACTCCAAAGAAAACAGCGACCGGTCGGGATGGATTGGCGCTGTGAGACTCAATCCATTCTGGCCTGCCGTGCATAGAAGTAAAACTTCATGCTCTGGCCGACCGTGCCACTCGCTATGACCTTGGCAGCGGATCACGCGCATAGCATGCAGCATGAACAACAATGGACATCTTGCAGCCTAGCCCCATCGTTCGGGAAGCAAATTCGCATGAGTCTCCCTCAGGGTCTGACAAAGATGCCTCGTGGTCTCAGGGCCTCGGCAACTGAAGGGATGAGAGGCTCACACCATGCAGTGAGGCTGCCTTGCCGACGCACCCCAAGACCACTTCGAGAAGATTTGCAACACCACCGCGGTTCTGCAGTTCGGCGCCCTGCATCTTTCAAAAGGACTTTACAGGGTCAGAGGCCTTCAAACCTGATATAACTTGATGCTATACCGCAACAAGGCTAAGCCGAAAAGCGTCGGCTTCGTGGAGAAGACCAAGGTTGGAGGTGCGATTTGTGCTGCAGTCTGACTTCGATACCTCTGTCCCGGCACCCCAATTTCCCAACTGCCCTTCGAATGAAAACCTGCAACGACACACCCACAAAAAAACCAAGAAGCAAGCCAAAAAGATCCAAAAAGCTCGTCAGACCCTAGGAAACCCTGTTCTGAGCACGGCCCCCGTAGCGCCCTAAGCACCTACTCGGAGCATCTTAAACCACAAAGTCCGACAAAGCCCGCATCGGGTGCGGGGAGTTCGTCTGGGTCCGAGACAGCCTCGACGGCGCCTGTGTTCGACGCGCTGCCGGGCCTTAAGTCGGAATCATCTAAGGACCTCTCAAAAACCTCAACCGCTTAAAAAAAAATAATAAAAAAAAACAACAAACAAACAGCCCGCACCTCATGGGCCAGTTCAACACCGGAAGCTGCGGCAACTGCGACCACCGCGCCTGGCGAGAGGACGTGACCCAAGGTGACTCCCCAGGTGACGCTTTGAGACTCTTGTGCAGGTGCAGGAAACGTTAGTTAGGAACCGGGACCCGCCTGAAAGCTGTTGCCGTCCATGGAGGCGTCCATGGCCAGGCTGAACTCGGGGGGAGCTGCGGGCGGCGCAGCGACCGGAACCTGATGCTGCCATTCTCAGCTCAGGAACCCCAAAAGGAACCTGGACTCTTACAGAGACTCTTCGGGGTTTTTAAAGGGGGGCGGCTCTTTCAAGAGTCATGCGCTGCAAGCCTCGGATCCGAGGCCGCCAAGCAGGTCCTGTCACAGAGGCGGAACGTGATCACGCAAGTTCAAGTATCTCCTCCTCTTCTACCTACTCCTCTTCTACCTACTTGACATACCCACATGTCAATCTGAGCGGCTTGCAAGTGACCCGGTCCTCCATGCCGAGGAGATCACCGCCGCTGCTAGGGGAGGATTTGGGCGCCGTCTCGCCAGGTGCCAGTTTGAGAGGAGTTGAGGTTAAGGGGCAAAGCTCAGAGGATCAACCCTTCCACGTTCCATGGCCTGCACGGGTGCAGGGACGTCGTCCAGGAGCCCTCGCGAATACAAACGCATGTCAGGCATCTCTGCCACAGGCACTAAATCAAGTGGCACGATACTCACTTTCCATGCTCTACAGCAGTATATACAATACATATACCGTAGTGTAATACTTCAGTACCATGCCATGTTGTGACGCACTCCTCCTCCAAGGAGGTCCGCCGATTCCGCGGGCGCTGGAGAGGCGAAGTCAGGAAGCATCTGCACTTTCGCGGCTGTGAGGGCAGGGCACAGCCAAGGGCAGCGCAGACGGACATGAAGTTCCCGGCCTCAGGAGGGGCGGCCGCTTGCCCATTCACCTCAGAGCTTCCCGAAGTGTCGGGAACGAGGAAATGTCGGGAAGGAGCGCAGGATGTTTTAGGCTATTCAGAGTTCGCTGCTCAGGACTAAGATGGTCTGAAACCACAGCCTTCTCCAGCCTCACGGGCCCGGGCTCTAGACGGCTGCGTCGGCGTCGGGGGCATCTCCATGCCCTAACGGGGCCCAAACTTGCAACTCTCCATAGCTCTGCCAGATCTCAGTTCTCTGCCCTACCTCGGGCAGCGCCGGCGGCTGCATCTTCATGGCTACGAAGGGGCTCCCGCTCACCTGCTGCTGTGAAACGGAACCCTGCATCCAGCCTTGGCACAGCCCTGCATGCTCTGGCGCATTTTTTTCTGCAAGAGGCCGCCGACCCTCGAAGCATTCTCCAACCTTCCCCAAATTTGGTCTTCGCCTTTACTACTAGACTTGCCCACTACTTGCCCCAAGCACCCAAAGCATCCCTAAACCATCCTAAGCCCATCGCTAATCCCATGCGCCTGGATGAACTTGGAGGCTGGCTGCTTGTAGACCGTGCTAAGCCTGGGCTCAGAGGGTCCTTTTTTCGGAAATGCCTTGCGCTTGCTCTTGCGGCTTTCTGGCGAAATTGTTTCTTTGTGGGCTCCCAGAAAGGTCAGTTGGGTGGGGAGACGCCGTCGCCTTGGCCCTTGCTTGTCCAATGGGCATTGAGGAGGATCGGGTCTTTTACATAAATCGAAGAGGCTTCGAAGGCTTCGAAGTTAATCTCAGAACTCATCTTTCCGATCCCAGGAGTTTTTTGGCATCCCTGGAATCCCTGGAATCCGAGGGCCCGGGCGAGTTGAACTCGTCGAAGACTCTATCCCGCAGGTCGACGTCCATCTCAGGGGCTCACAGGGGGGTTCACTGAGTCAGGGAGGATGCCCTCTGCCCCAGAACCACTGACCGCTGTGCGTGCTTAAATCAGTGCTGCACACCGTGTCTGCATGCAGTGTTCGTTCAGGTAAAGCGCATGTCTTGGCTGCACAAGGCAACAGCAATCACTGCACCAGACGCAGTGTGGGGGCCTCCTCCTGGAACTCCTCGACCACCTCCTTGGGTGCGCAGATGACGCGCCTGGCCTCCTCGGGAGAGACCTGCAGCAGCCTCCACGGTTTTGGTGATGCTTTGCTCCACTCCCCAAATTTCACGCATACAGGAACACACAAGCTTCACGCGCACGTTCTGCCTGTAATACAGAAGAGCTCTATCTCGAACATCCGGATGCGCACATTCCTGGATCGCCTGATGTGTGCCGGGTTTGTGAGCGCACCTCCGCATCTCTTGGCATCCCTATTCAGGTAGAGCCTTCTGCATCAGGCAGCCCAGCATCTTCTGCACTTCCGGCGGACGACAGAAGAACAGCTTCACCTGACGTGGGGTCCTATGCACTGCGCCACTCCCTCAGTACAGAAAGCTCCACTCCACTCTGGGAGCACGGCAGCGGCTGTTAGCATCTCCAGCTGAACAGCCCCAGACTCCTCTGCTTTCACTGCATGGCGGGGAGGGGGGGGCTTTTGGCAACCACAAGGTGCACGGGGCGCTTGTGGCACTTGCATCGCTCTCCTCCGTGAAGCTGTCGATCATGGGCTCTAACAAGTAAGGCGCATCCTCGGAAAGGTCTTCGGGCAGCACGAACATCAGACGCATCAGACACCAACACCCTGGTCTCTCGGTGCTTCTGCAGGCCTCGATGAGCAGGCCATACTCACCAAGGATCCAGAGCAAAGCCTCAACGGCCGAGTGATGTGGCTGTGACCCGAAACCAAAATGCTGGGCAGGGGTCAGAGTCTAGACTCTGGGCCGCGAACGCTCTTGCCATCGGGTTCCGTCACTATTCTCAGGCACTTCCTTGCATTGTTGACGTGCATGTCGGGATGACAGTCCATACTGACCCTCATTCATGCTTTGTGTTAATGGGTAAAAGGGCCAACAAACCTTCACTGGCAGAGGCCCAGGCTGCACAGCACCGGAGGCCTGTTGGAATTGCTCAGGGTACCTGGCTCTGTTCTGGTCAGGGCTTCCGGCTTCGGGCTCTTTGTGGTTCTAGGGTTCAGGGACTGTTCTGAGTTCAGGGCTCTTTGAACCAGAAACAGCCAGAACCTGATAGGCGCACTTCCTGACCAAGTCCTTCATGACCACAGCTGCTTCAGTGCAGACCTGAGGCTCTAACTTTTTCAAAACTTAAATTGGTACACAGCCCCAGGTATGGATGAAAATCAACGGACAGGCTCAGCAATCTGTGGTGCCGGACATAGTCGATGTCTAGCTCTAAGAGACCAGTCAACGAAGTGACGATCATCTCGGAGGTCGAGGGCACGTGCACCTGAGGACCGCGACACATCGGTCAGAGCTACGAGATGAGATGTCAGAATCAGAAAAAATTCACCACAGGCCCGGCACCGCGATCTTGCCTATTGCCCGAATCGCTCTGCGTGCAATCTCCGCATCCACATCAGTGACATACCTGTGAGGATTGTCTGCAAAGAGGCACAACAGGGGGAAGGCTGATCTCCAAACGAGCCAAGCCAAGAAAAGCCCCAAGAATGCTGTGCTCTTGCTGCCGAGCAAGGTGCTCGCTGAGCTCGGTCACGACATGCTCGGCACCTCGTGTCTTGTAAGTGCAGAGAATGTCATCCGCTCAAGGACACGATCTGCAGGAACTCTGACCTGCGGTCAGAACTTGCCACCGGGGCCCACGCTATTGAAGTCTGCTAGCATGGTGAGAATGTCTATCTTCACCTGCTTGATGTACCTCCGGATTCACCACGGACATAATGCCAGGCCAGTTGACATAGCAATGCCACCCTAAAGAAGCTGCACAAGTATAAACGGTAAAATTCCACAATGAGCCCCTTCAAGGCAATATCGCAGCTTTGGGTTAGCCGTCGGCTCTCTGGAAGTGTCTTCACTGAGGCACGAAGGCTCGTTGTAGCGGCAGAAAAACTGCTTGAAGTCTCCCGCGAAAACCTGCATGGACATGTTCAGGCGGGATGATGTTCTATGAAACACTCCGCAGCCAATAAGCCATCAACTGGAGAAGTGTATGCTGCCTCACTACGAAAAGGGTGCTGGCCGTGCTGCTCTCATTTTTGCCCCCCAGGCATGACTTGTCCTTTCAAAGAGTTGTTTGGGAACGGAATGGTGCAAACGGGCTCTTCACAAGGCCCATTCGAGCTCAAAATGGGTGGCAGGCTCGGAATCCTCTCCGAGCCCGCCTGTGCGCATATGGCACCCAAACGGACTGTACACTTCCCTCCACGCTGAAACCGCGGAGCAGTGTCGGTCGCGCTGCTTCTGTCAGCTCCAAACACCTGATGCTCGACCAGGGACCCTCCAGAACTTTCAAGAACTCTCTAGAACGTCTTATGAAAATGGAAGGGGGGCGCAGCCGAAGCGCTTCGAGTACCACTCTCCAGGGCCAACAAGGCCGGGAAGAGCTTGGTGAGTGGGTCTCTCAAAACGGCGCCCCCTTAGTAACAAAGCCATGGGAAAATCGAAGTGCAAGCGCTCCACCCATGAAAGGAAAGTCTCTCCTATTTAGGGCAAGTCACTACAGGCGGGCGGTCTTCGGGTACGCCTGCGGGCCGCAGCAACTGTCACGCCACTTTCTTGTTTTGTTGGGAGCGGGATTCCCAGCCTTGATGGCAGTCCGAACCGCCAGATCCGCCATGATCTCCTCGCTGCCACCGTAGACCTCTTGCTGCCAAGGGGTGAATGGATGACCCCACCAGAAGAGGAGAGGAATTCATGACCAGTTAAAAGCCGAGTCTCTGCAGGGATCTTGTACATCCTTTCAAACTCACAGTAAAAGTTGTCTCACAACGATGATCTGAAGAATGAGGCTTGCTAACGGAGTCTCTTGAACTTCTTGGATGTCTAGTGTCCTGGAGAAGACCTCCACAGCACGGCCCATGGCACCCTGTGTCACGCCACGTCCTCCGAAGACCTGCCACGCATCACTTGCGTGGGCATCACGGTTGATGGGCTGACGGAGATACATGGCATGTGCTCTGTTGTACTGTGCGTTGCCGGTGTAAAAAGTTCAAAACATCTGACCTGGCCTGCACCGCGTTGTCGCAAACCATGTGGTTCATCCGAGTCGTCTGATACCTTGGCCACCCAGCGAAATGCCGGAATGCCAGCCGCAGAAAAGTTTGAGGCTATGCACTGGTAGGCTTAGAACTTAGAACCCACTAAGCATCCAAAAGCACAGGCCAAAGCGGCTTCAGCAGAGCGATGCGAGCTCCAATATCCGCACCCTGGGTTCCCACGTGGCACATGTTGTAGGTGATATCCCACCTCAGAGCGCAGATGATGCAGATGTGGTGAGCAAAGGTCCCGGTTGCACCAAACCTGCACCGATGCCGGGAGGTGCCCTGCAAAAAAAAGGCCAGGGCACAGCATCTGGGTGCAGGTCTCGATGCCTGCGAACATCTGGGCCAGCTTCCTCATCTCTTCCGGCACAGGAGACTTTCATGGTCGCATTCTATACGAGACCGTACAAACGGTGATGCCACAGCCAGTCAGAACTTCCAAACTTGGAAGACGCCGCTTCTTAATGCACACCATGCTTCTCACGAATGACCGCCTGCTCAATGAGGGGCTTGCCAAAGACCTGAGCATCTCCCCCAAACCCCAAATTGGCCTAAGCCCTCAGCCAAACGTGCAGGCCTTGCGCTGCATGGCCCACTTGAAGGTCTCCTCCGTGGCAATTCGCGCCCGAGCGATGCACACGACCGTGATCATCCATCCTCGGTGGGCTTCCTCATCGCCCCCGGGCACTGAGACCCGAAGTCCCTACTTGCCAGGTGAACACGCCACAGCATCAGCATGCTGGCTTGCTTGCATATTGTTCTACCTGCAAGTACCGGTGCTCTTCCCTCCCGTTGCCCATGGCACACTTGGCCGACACGGGCGCAACTGCATAGGGCGTTTTTCAGCAAGGCGTTCACAACAAAGAGCTGCCAAGAGTCGCTCATGGTTGAAGTTGGACATGATGATCTGGAAGCCCTCCGCTTGTTTAAAGGTTTGTGGCAATGGAATTGCGTACTTCCACCATTTCTGCCGGTCGTGAGCCCTTGCTGGCCTTGTTCTCCCCCTTGATGATATACTTCTTTGGGACGATGCAGTTCTCATACGTCACGTAGGCGGTGCCAGCCGAGCTGGAGTACTTGGTCTTCATGACCCTGGGCAGCAAAACTCAATTTTGCAACTCAATTGCAAAAAGGAGGAGAGAGGCTCGAAAGGCCCGGCTCAGGAGAAGATTTCCTTCGAGCGTCTTGGTCTGCACCGCATCGGAGCGGGGGATCAGCATCATGGAGATGCCTCCGGCACCTGCCTTGCCCGTGCGCACCGCCGTCACGAACCAGTCCGCATACATGCCGCCTCTTGACTTTGGTTGTTGGGCACATTGTTGGCTGTTGGCCTTGAGTTCTTTGTTTGGGATTGGGACAGTTGACAGCGTTTGCGTTTGGGAGGGTATGTGCCTACGGGCCAAAACAACCTGTGTGCCGAGCATGCGTCGGGTTGCAGCGAGCGAAAGCCCCAGACCACGGCTTCTTGTCTCGATCTTTCGAGCTCTTGGATCTAAACCGAACGGAATGACTCACTGGCAGGTCACGGCAACTCATCACTGCTTCTGTCGGCGCCAAATTGCTCGTTTGAAAGAACTGCGGTGCAAAAATGGAACCACAAGCGATGCCCTCTAACGCAGTATGCCTCAGAGCACAACAGGAACTCAACCCATTGAGCACGCCTGTGATCCACTTCTTGGTGCCGTTCACGATGTAGTTCTCACCCGAGGCATCGAGCACTGCCGTGGTCCGAAGTCCGGCCACGTCGGAACCAGCGAAGGCCTGCGGAAGGACAGCTTCGCGCAGGGTTCTAAATTGGTTTGTCTGCTTTGACAATGCAGCGTTTCCTGATAAACGCAGGTTTGGCATGCCCGCAGTCGCTACGACAGTATCATCAGGTCTTGTAGCCCGGTTCAGGCGGCCTCGGTAATGGACAGGACGACCGTCTGCTCCCCCTTGACGATCGCCGGCACCACCTGCACCAGCCAAAGGAGAGACCAAACCCCAGCTGAAAAAACAGCCGGAAGAACTGCTCGGCGCCTCTTTCTTCATCCAGTCTGAGCCATATTTGAGCAGCACCTGGTTGAGGTTTTTGTAGCAACAGCTTCTGATACTTGTAAGTGGTGCGATGACACAGGGGAATCACAAGGCGCCCTTCGCTTTCAATAGCCGACGGCACTGGCAGACCAATGGACACCGCACCGTCGAGGCCGTCCTCACCAGTTGTGTTTTGTTGGGGGCTTCTCCCGCTCTTTCACTGCTTTTTTAAATTTGGTGGGCTTTGGTTTGGGGAGTTTAGGGTCACACGATCTTTGACGTTTTGAGCTTCTGCCTGTGCATTCGTCACGATTGCATTTCGACTTTGGCATGCGCATTTCTGCAACCGCGGCTTGGGGAGAGCCTCCAACCCAGTGGCAAGAGCCTTCCGAACCCAGGACACTAATTAATACCTGGCTTTGTCCGGGAAACCCAAAGCAAGACAACCAACAAAACAACCGAAACATCAAGTAAGCATCCGTAAGCCAAGGGCAAGACTCTCATGTGTTTTTTCTGTCCTCGTAGCCTGGGCACATGGCACGGCACCGCTCCTCCTGCACCACCTCACGGTTGCCAAGGAAAGAGTCAGGGTTCCGGGCTCGATTCAAGAATACTGTAGCGGCTTATGGCTTGGATGTAGTCTTTGGGCCCTTCAGGCTTTCGGCCTCTAGGCTTTCAGGCATCAAGGTTTTGAGCAGATTTCCTGGCAAGTTCGAAAGGCAGCATCGAGCTGAAATATCACACTCCAACCCCCAGCTCCCCACGCATCCCACGCCCGCCAGTTCGTGGAAGTAGGTAAACTCCTCCGGCTTGACAACTCCGCCGCAGAGGCTCGATGGGATCTTCCTGAGAAACTTCAACGACGCCTTTCAGATCTCAATGCTTCGAGGTTGGAGTTCGAGGCGGAGCTTTATAAGCTGCAAGGGAATTTGTTTGCATCCGATTTGCCGTGGTGACTGTTGTGGTTCCTTGCTGCGAGACGCCGAGGCCTCTGAAACCCCTCCGCCTTGCACTCAAGTGTTCCGAAAAGTTGAGAACTTCGTTAGATCATGTTAGATCCACGAGCTTGGAGTGTCTAGTGTCTCGAGAGTCCCGGCAATCCCGGCTGCCAGGCGTCAGGTGCTCACCAGGGCCTTGCACCATAGCAATGATGCCAAGGTCGCCCATGCGCTTTCGCATCTCCTGCGGCATTGACATGTTCTGAATGTTCATATAGATGTGCGTTAATATACGAGTTTACTTTATCTTAGCATCTTAGAATCTTCGTATCGGAGTATTTGAGAATCTGAATATCTTAGTATCTTAGTATCATGGTATCCTAGTAGCTTAGTATCTTAGTATCCTAGAATCTCAGTATCTTGGTATCGTAGTATCTTAGTATCTTAGAATCTTTGTATCTTAGTATCTTAGTATCTTAGTATCTTAGTATCTTAGTATCTTAGTATACTATATCAGTATTGTTTTATTCTTCGAGTACATTATCATACTAGTTTGTGCCGACGGGTCAATTACCGTCGTGCGTTTTGCACACTTTTGACTGCGGTTGGTTGGGGGTTTGGGGGGGTGGTGGAAGGGTGGGGGGGGTTTGGTTGCGCCTTGGTTGTCGCAGCTTCCAACCATTCCTAACTGGCCACTCGAACACTACCGCCTGTTAACCCCATTCCTTCTGTTCCTGAACCTGGAGCCTTAGCCACTTTGGGCTTGGGGGGGGAGTGGGGGGGGTGGGGGGGGGAGTGGGGGGTCGGGGGTCGGGGGGGTGGGGGGTGGGGGGGGGTGGGGGGTGGGGGGGGGGGTCATAATAGCGTCGGTTCTTCTTGAGTGTCCACGTGTAACTGCGACGCATGCATGCACAACAGTTTGTCAAGTCCAGGTATTTTCTCCCTTAAGGTGAAAGTGGCTACGCCAGATCTTATCAATTATCAATGGAGATGGGAGAATTGCTTTCCAGCACGGGCCATTACTTGGCCAGTTTGTGACCAGACGGACGTGCGCCAAACAAGCTTTCCAGTGCCATTCTTAACTCCTGAATTCTTGCCCTGCCTTCCTCTAGCCCGGCAGAAGACACTCGTCAATCCTATACTCAGACCCCTGAACCCTAAACCTCAAACCCCCCAAGGGGCCGACCAGCACAAATCCCTTAGCTCTTCACCAAAGTCCCTGAAGCCTGCTGCCCCCCCCCACCCCCCCGTTTCCTGGTGCTTCGCATACGGCCAAGAAGAACCGTGGACCGCAAAGCATTCAGGGAAGGTGTAAGCCCTATTCCCATTAGCCCAAATTTTTACGATATTGCTTAACAGGCAGCAGCGTTTTGCATTGAAGTTGCGCATGCAAGCGAAATAACACCAAAAAAACGCAAACATGGGGGTTTTTCGAAAAACCACGTTTTTGCACCGTGAAACCACGAAAACATCGGCATACGCAGTGTTTTCGGCCTGCGAGCCACCTTCAAAACAAGACACGAAAAAAAGGCATGCGCGATCACCGAAAGTACCACGCCTGCCATGGTTTTCACAAAATGGCCTCTGAAACTTGCACTTTTTTTGGACAAAAACCACGTTCAAAATCGTGCTCCCGCCTCGGCCAAATGCTTATTTGCAAAAAAACGCACGACGGTTAACGCCCCGTGCGGTAGTTTGTAGACGAAGCGACGACGCGTCGACTGTGCGGTGTGGTCTCGGTCTCTCCTTGCTGGGCGCTGTTGACTTCACCTCGCATTCCAGGGCTTCCTCCATCGCCTCGCCGCAGAAAAACTTCCGCGCGGCCAGGCGCAGCTTCACGTGAGACCTGGGTTTAGGGTTTAGGGTTTAGGGTTTAGGGTTTAGGGTTTAGGGTTGAGGGTTGAGGGTTGAGGGTTTAGGGTTTAGGGTTTAGGGTTTATAGTGATGGGAAACAGCAGAAAGCCCAGAGCAGGACAGGGAGGCAAGGGAAGCCAGGGAGGCAGCCTTAAGGCCAAACATGTCCAGGTGGCTCATCGAAGTAGGGACTCTTGAAGCCCTGCATGTAGCTCGGCTCAGCAAAAGGAACTTTGCCTTGGTTGACCCCGAAACGCCCCCAAAGGGTACCCAACCGCCCCAGACGCTCCCAAGCACCCCCAAGCACTCGCACCCCCAAGCACCCCCAAGCACCCGCACCCCCAAACACCCAAGCACCCCCAAACACCCCCAAGCACCCCCAAACACCCCCAAGCGACCAGAAACACCCCAAACACCCCCAAAGACCCCAAACACTCCCAAGCATCCTCGACCAAGGTACTAACCTCGGTCACACGCTCGGCTGCCTGATCGAGGTGAAACGGCGAAGGGCAAGAGGCTCATCGCTTCCAGCGTGTCCAGCTACGATTTGAAGACGGCCACAGAAGCGCTGCATCAGAGCTCAGAAACGCTACCCCAATAAAACCCTCCAACGAACCCTCAGGCTTTTGCATCCTGGCGCATCCTGGCGCGAAGCCATGCGAAGCCATGCGAAGCCTATAAAGCCTATCAGAATCATCTCGGGGGCCTGCTTGGGAGCGGGGCCGGCATCTGCCAAGCGGCCCTTCTTGAGACGCTGGTACCTTGGGATCCCATCCATTCGGGCTGTGAAGCGTTGTGTTCTGGTTTCGAGTTCTCCTTCATTACACTTTCACTGCTTAAACAGACTTTCTGAACCTTACACCATTGCACCCTGCGAACCACCTTGCGCCTCGGCCTGCAATCTGCAGGCGCAAGCATTCCAAGCGTACCATTCGTCACGCGCACTAAGCAGCCAGCTTCCAAACCCGCTTGGGCCATGCACTTCCGCCACTGTGTGGCACGCACAGGACCCTTTCTGCTCTTGGGGCCATGCATTGCTTCTGGCACAGGCAGTGCTACGAGCGTTCCTTTGCACGATGCTTGCAAGAGCTACATCTCTCGAGGCGAGAGGCTTGTCCAAGACTTCAAGACGATGAAGTCCGAAGAAGTCCTCGGTCGCGTCCTCGAAGCTGCAAGGGGTGCACACACATACCAGCGCACCGGGGATTTCAAGCATGAGCTCAAGCCTTTCAAGCAATCATCTCTGTCTTCACTATCCGATTCACCGGTACACGCAGTACACTCGCTGCCGGATCGCTCTGCTGTGCCGCACCTTGCCGGCGTACTCCAGAAGGATCTGGGTGCCGCCGGGATGAACTCCGGCGAACTTCGTGACATCGTACCTTGGACAACTTGCACTTGGCACCCTATCTCCTGGGCTGCTGCTTTCAGAAAACACCTGGCTCCATTTCTTCACAGGGTCTCAACCAGAAGTCCTGTTCCTTTAGCCTTTACAGTGGCGGTCCGGTCAGCGGCAAGGAACACGTCTCCGTCCACGATGATCCAAGCATCGTCGCCCTTGTTATGCTTGGCAACTTCCTCGCGCGTGATGCTGGCCGACATGCCGACGGGAGAAAGTGTGGCTGGCGCGTGAGATTTTGTACTCCTGGCTTGGGCAGAAATGGCAGCAGAGAGTTAGAATAGGTCATGAACGGAACTTGTACCGGATCACAGTTCCAGCTCCCCTCTTGAGGCTAGAGTACATTGCTGCCTCGGGTGACCTCGGCAGTGTGTGTACAACTGTCGGTTCAGTCCCTTCAATTCAATTCCGAGATCAAAGCTTCGACTTGAAGCCATGAACTTTCCGAGCGTAGTCCCTCGGAGTTCTGCACAAAGCGTGGAGGCCTCAATCTGACGCTGGCCACGCGTGAGCAGCGCGTGGATGTGAACCAGGACCTGCAGTTTCACCGCGCCTCATATGGAAGCACCGTGTGACGTAAGTAGATCCCAACCCAACTCAACCAAAAAGCCCCAAAAGGCAAAGGAGATGGTGATGCAAAAAGGGGATCGTGTTGCCAAAGCAATGCTCTTCCTTGCCCCTGATTGCCCTGCAGATTCCAATGATTCCAAGCCTGAAGCCTGTCAACAAACCCCCCACTTCACCCCCTCTCCCCAAATCCCCCCCCCCCCCACCGTGTAGGACAGCTCGGTGCTGGCCGCGGCCATGAGTGTCAGAAGCGGGCCCTGCGCAGGGCGCTGCATGCGCTGCGCTCAGGTTTTTCGGTGCCCAAGACGCCGCCGTCTAAGGCGAGACTTTCTGACGCAGTTAATGACTGGGGTTCATGCTCGCAGGTGCGGGGGTTCGGACGGGTTCGCAACCCGACAGCTTCAGCTTGCCTGCCTTCAGTCTCTGCAGCACATCCTGCTGAAGGTCCGGGCGATTGCTCGTGAGGTCGACGAAGATCTGAAAGAGTTTTTGTTTGTTGCTCGGGGGCCCCGGATGACCGAGAGGCCAAGGAAATGAAGCTCAGCTCCAGCCTTCGTCACCGACAAGACTACCGCGCTGCTGGACTGTTTCAGCAGGCCTTGGAGTCTTGCGAGTCTTGCAGCGCAATCTCTTGAAAAAAGGACTTCAAGGGCTGCCCTTTCCTATGCTTGGCATCAGGCCATCGAGGATGTTCATGATGTCAAACATCTCTGCCTCGCCGGCTACGGCGTACCTCCGACAGGTTTAGAAGAGCACCCAGAAGCCGCAAGGCTGCTAAAACGCCGCGCAAAGAGCGTCCAACAAGTGAAGCAGTTTCAGTAGCTAGGGTTGCGCAGCACAGGGGCACTTTGTCAGCAGCCTCAGAATGGCACATTGGCCCCACTCAGAGAAGTGCATGATGCGGTTCAGCAAGGCCGTGATCTGGGCTCCACAGGTCAGCATGAGCGCAGCGGTCCCAATGACATTCCCACTGCATGGACATGGCCTCACCTACCCTACATAACCGAGGCATCGACCTTAAAGACCAAACAACACATGATCTCAGGCTGCGCCACTTGCATTGTGTAAAGAGCTGTCTTTTTCCCGCACTCAATTTCAAAAGGCGCTCTCGTCTGGCCGATCGATTGCAAGCCCTCCAGGTTGCTCAAAGCTTTGGCCACGGATCCTTCTGAGCTCTGCAGATGGAACCGTTGACGTCATGGAGCGGAGTGCTCAGCATCAAAAAGAACATAGGACAAAGCATTTCGCAGGTGCTCTTGAAGTATTCTACGAAACATCTCAGTACAACAATCAAATTTGACATGTAGCATGGCCGTTGATTTCTACAGGGCTCCTCAAGGGCTGCTGGTGCTCAGCAAGCCAAGTTGTCGCCCATGACACAAACCAGCCAGCAGTCTTTCGAGGAATGCTTCTCTCTAAGCTTCAAGCAGGCACTTCGTGCTGCCTACATCAAATTTGGAAACTGTTGCGACCACAAGACATCGCGACAGCCGAGATCTCTTGAACCTCCTCGAGCCGTCCTTCAAGCCCTTCTTTCAGAAAGTGCGGAACTGACTGCTCCCGTGCAAAGTCTGCCACAGTTCGATTCCGCGCATTGCGCAAATCCAGTGTTGCGCCCGCCGCTATGAGTGCAGCAGCGCCCTCGTACTGTCCAGTCATCACGGCCAGCATAAGTGGCGTTGCGCCATGGCCGTGGTATGCCAACCTTGTCAGAATGGTTGCCTTGCCAAATCTGTGCTGCATGGCCTTCGCCGCAAAAAGAATGCCATGGAGACTCATCAGTCGCTGCCGAAACGGTGAGTTGATGTCTGCGTTCAAGCTAACTAGGCGATCCAATACCTCGGCCTTTCCACCTCTGTTGGACATGCAGCAAAACAAGCCCCTGGATATGTCAAGCTTGTTGCCCGTTTGGGTCAAGAGCTCCTCCATAGCCTCCAAACTACCGGCTCCGCACGCGGCATCAAACGCAGTGAATCCCATCAAGTCCTGAAAGCTGATCAGGGGAGACATTCGGATCTACATGTTGCAATGTTGCGCATGAACGTTCTGACCTGAGCAAAAAGCAAGGATTTGTTTGCAGTGTACGAGAGTACGGCTAATGCATGCTCTCTTCTTGGACAGCCCCACCCTGGTCCTTCATGTCGGGGCAGCACCTGGCCTCACAGAGGATGCGAATGCCTTGTGAGTTGTTTGCCATGGCCGCCAAACTGATAGGTGGCTGGATCCCGCTGCTAACCTGTCCAGCAACAGGCCAAGGCGGCCAAGGCGGCCAAGGGCTATATTGGACTTGCATCTTGCGGATTGGCTAACGCCAGCTGCTTTGAACCTTAAAAAACGTTTAAAACCCAAAATCCCGGTTTTCTACAGCCGGATGCCCACTTTGAGGCTGCCCGCCTTCGCCTTCGCAACCACAAGCGTGCGGGCAGCATCGTTGTGCTTGAACATTAAGCAAATGGACAGTGCTGAGGTCATAGGAGGTACTCCGGCTTGTGGTTGCGCCTTCTTCGTCAAACGGTCAATCTGAGCACCATGGCTTAGCAAACTCCGCAGCAGCTCGGGGTCTCCGGCCAAAGCGGCATAGTGAAGGGGCGACCATCCCTGGCCATCAATGTCGGTCACGGCAGAAAAGCCATTTTGAAAGAGGAAAGAAGACACCGGCAAGGACACAGAATCCAGCCCTGTTGCATCAAATCCGGGGATCAGATCACCCATCGGCTCAACATGGAAGCCCCTCAAGTGCACGGTCTGCAAATTTAGCAAGATGCGATACCCTACCAAGTCTTGATGTCGCAGGTAGAAGACGAGCTTGCGCTTCAACGCTTGCAGCACCACCGGTGCGAGCTTGAGACGGTCCGTGTCCACTGTGAAGGCTCCCTCGCCAGGTGAGCCACCAATGGATGCGGCCGGCGTCGCAATGAGCTCTAGCTCAGTTCGGCTCTTGATCATAATCCATGAGGCATCTGAGGACAGTTCTCGGCAGACACGTTCCTTACCAGCACCAAATACTCTGGCACGATTGGGAATTCTGCCCAACCCCCTCCCACCAAAACAAAACAAGAAAGCAAAAACGCAAAGGCGTCGGTTAAACTAAAGAAGCACACAAGGCACGACACGGCACCACCCGCGTTCTGCCCAGCTGGTAGGTGTAAACACCATCGACTGCTTCGGGCTGTAGACGACTGGGCACAAAGCGAAGAAGAACGAGCATCTTGCAATGTATGCTGGAATGCTTTCGATCGCATGGGCGAGCTGGCTGGATTGGCTGAGTCCACTTTCCTGCAGAAGTTGGCGAGCATGAAGGTCGAGCTGTGGACAAGAAAAGTAATCATACCAGAGAAACAACGGCTTTTCCCGCAGTGCTTTCGCATCAAGGCACGGGACTCCGGCTACCAAAAACTCGGTGTTGAGGTCCAGGGAAATGTACTGCATGTCTGACATCACATGCTCCAAGGCCTCTTGCAGCACTCGCAGCTGCTTCAACTCAGGATCAGGATGGTTGTTTCCCACCCACTGGTGCGACACGAAGGCCGCATTTCCCGCGTTCTTGTCAAACTCAACCAGCATGCCACGGTCCTTCAGCACCTCATGTGGCTGAATCTCGTTCATGTCCATGAAGAGGGGCAGGGCCAACACGTACATCGGGAAATGCAACAGCGGTGCGTCGGCCTCATCAGCGTCCCTCTGCTCGGCCAGCAAGTTGGCATAGCGCTGAAGCGGTGTCGTAGCTTTGCTAGCTCCGCACAGAGGCATGATTGGAACGCTGATCTCAAAGACCTGTTGACGGCTGCGGTTGAAGCAGGTTGCAGGCATTTAGGCTCCTTGTGACAGTACGACTGTGATACATGACTAGTGGCAGTCTACCAGGAGTCGGAAGAAAGGAAGCGCCGCAAACATTCTGCAAGTCCTTACAATCCAGGTCCCACGCCACTTCCTCAGTGGGGTGATAGCCGCCCTCGCTGGCTAAGACCTGCTCATTCTCAGCACATCCTTAGGCCTTCATAGGCCTCAAGCCTTAGGCCCGCTTTCCCAAGTGAAACTTTTTGTGGCTAAAGACTCCTGATTGTCACCCCGAAGCACGCAGAGCAATGCTTGCGGATCCAGGGGTGGTTCACATGACAGACAGCGGCCTCCTCTAAGGCACTGATTGTGTTGGAGACCACGTGCGCGTCGCTGTCGCTTACAAGCCTGCAACGTGTTCCGCTGGCCTCAGAAAGCCCCCCTTCGACGCTGAGGCAGCTGCCGCTTCAGCATCGGTAACAGGTCAGTCTCTGTGACCTCGGTTTGCGTAATTACTAGATCACCTCGTAGTTGATCATGCAACTACTCACAGGCTACTCCAGTGTCTAGTTTCTGATCCTAAGAGCTAAGGGCCTTGACATCGAACCTCCGAGCTCTCTACTCGAAGTTTTCTCCTTTGTTTTAAAAAGTGCAGATCAACAACTCGAAACCTGATGCCAGGGGGGTTTTGGAGCGAATCCTTAACGCTCAAGCGCCAGACTCGTTGATTATTACAGAAGTAGCTCCCAGACCGTAGCCTCGCTTCTCTTTGAGAAGCCCTTTTTTGCGCAGAACTGCTGGCTGTGTTGAGGTGTAGCAGTGTAGCAGTCCTGCTTGTTGTAGGCACTTTGTAGGCTTTGCAAGCGTTTACAGGCGTTTAAGCAAGTCAGGGCAACTGGAGCGCCGAGAGGCTACGGATGGAGAGATGTAAAAGAGCTTCACAACCTGGCAAGTCATCCGACAGCACTGGACTCGAAACGGCCTGCAGCGAGCGTGCCTGCAAACGCCTAAACCCACATGTCGGCGCGGCTCCTATGACCGCCGTCTTTCGAACATAGCCGTTGACATCCTTCAAGCGCGCAGACTGCTGAAACTGCTGAGATCATGAAGAAGTAACACTCTCCGCACCCTTGAGAAACATGAGCAAACCATCGCGCAAGCATGACACATCTTTTCCGCGTCACCACTCTTTTGCTTGGCATTATTGGAGCTGGTGAGGGCAGGGACCCGTGCATGAATGCACGACCTGCACATTGCATCACCTTGCCACATGACTTCCGAGGACGTGAAAACCGCCTGGGAGTGTCGAAAACGAATCACGGTACTCACAACTCGTTCCTCGGATCTTTATCCAAGACGCCTCAACGCTTTCGCAGCATGTCCAGAGACTCGAGAGCAGGCGAAGTCTCCCATTGTCACACTTGTCACCTGCATGCTCTTGCCGCTCTTGCCGTTCTTCGGGCATGTTATTGCCTGATGCGGCTCCAGTGTCGCTGAACACCGTAACGGGCAAACAAGCCCAGCTGGATCGTCGCCAGGAAAACGCCCAGGCCATCTTGCAAGTAAATGTACGGATCATCGAGCATAAAATACGCATAGAAAAACCACAAGGTACAGTTTAGGTACACGATGCATGTGAAGCCAAGATTTAACGCACGAGTATTCCGCTCTCGCACCACCGTGCGAATGGCCGCCAGTGGACCCCCAAACATGAAAAGGGTCATCATGTTCCCCGTGATTCCAAGCAAGTTCATTGCCCAGTCATGCGGAAGGCCGCATGCCAAAGCTGAGAACGCCAGTGTCGACGCCACCTTGAAAATGTGACTTACCAAGAGGTGCCCCGGGTTCTGCCAGTAGCTGCTGTAGACAAGCATGTAGTACATGCCCAGGCCAGCAGCGCAGAGGTTTGGGGTCCATATTGCCGGGTTGTTCAGGAGCATTCCATAAGCTGTCCACACAACTCCCTGTGAGGCCATCGCCGAGTAAGGCAGCATCGGCATCTGCCCCACGTCCCGCGCCTCTCGGATGCGGCGCATGGCCTCGAACATGGGATTCAAGAAGATCCCCAGCGAGACGATGCCAGGAAGCCCGATCCCGACACTGCCAACATGGACAAAGTCCTCAAAGATCCACCGGTGAGGACTTTCGGCCAAAGATCCCGGGGCCAAGCAGGGTGCGAGTGTGACGTTCAAAGAAGCTGGCAATAGGAGGCCCAGCCAGGTGCTGCTTGCAGCAGACGGAGGCATCTGCTCCACCAGCTTTCCATCTCTCAGGACAGGCGAGTTGATCAGGACCTCTGTCCTGGCATGGCTGGGCAGGGGCCCAGATGGCTGGGCCCTGTGCCTGCAGGACGCCTCTGAATGCCAGACACGGCAGCCCCAACCGCGAGCGCCACGAGCGCCACGAGCACCACGAGTGCCACGAGCCCCGACAGTGCCAGGACCCGGCCGAGCACCGGTAGCACGGGCAACCCGGGAGAGCCAAAAGCTCCGCCGCACCGCAGCCATGGCAGCCACTGTGGCACCGACTTGTCTACGGGGGTTTCGTACGGCTCGCAACTAGCTGGACGTCCCGGGTGGCACAAAGAGAGTGAGCAGACAATGCGCGGATTCGGAAACTGGAAACCGCGGATTCGCGACTCTTTAAAAGCGCGGACTTGGGATACTGAAAGCGTGGATTCGGAAGCCTGAACAGCGCGGATTCGGCAAACTGGCAAGCGCTGATTCGGGGAACTGAAAACTGCAGATCCGGGGAACCCTTGATTCGGGAATCGCGAAGTTGTCTGAAAGCATCCTTCACATGAACGTTCTCATCCCCCCCCAACCACTCACCCCCTACCCCCTGAATCTGGTAGCTCCTGAATCGCGTGAAGCCAGTTTCCTGAATCGTTTGGTTTCTTGAATCGCGGTTTCCTGACTCGCGTAGTTTCCTGAATCGCCCAGTTTACTGAATCGCAGTTTCCTGAATCGCCCTCCCCCCTCATCACGTGACATGCGGAGAATCCTCCAGAGCTCTCTGCACAGCTGGCTGGAGGTACCTGACACGTGTTGAGGGGTGGAGACTTGTGCCACTGGTCACAGTCACAGCGCAACGACACCTGAAGAATTGTCAGGCACAGTTGGGACTATTGCAAGCTGCAGAAGGAGGCAGACAGCAGGGCACTCCACCATGTTGGCTAAGCTCAGGGAGCCTTACGCAACATGAAGCTGGCAACATGAACTCAAGGCTTGGGATATCGGATGCCTCGGGCTTCAAGATAACTTAGGCAGCTCGGCTGCAGACACAGTGATCGCAGGGCCAGCCCCCGGATCATCGGATCGTCGTCCCGACAATCCTCTCAGAGCTCTTAACCAGCCTGGTTAGACTAAGCCACTTAGTGCTTAGTGCTTAATCCGCCGAGGCCTCCGGCCGAAGGTGTATAGGTACCCCCCCCCCCTACCCCCCCCTACCCCCCCGCCCCCGCGGACCCGAGCGCTGCGGAATCACCATGCTCACGCGGATGATCTGGGCCGGGCCGAGGCGGGTCGCGTAGCGTTAAAATTAAGGCCTTAAGGTTAGGCCCGCAAACATGTGAACATGTCCTTCTGAAGCGTGTTGATGGCCAGGATGGCCAGGTCAGAGTTGCTCTCCGCATAGTTGACAAGATATAGATATACCTCAGGCGGCTGTCACTTGACCCGTGAAGACTCATCCCAAACATAAAAAACTATGCAATCGCTTGGCGCGGTTTCCACAAACCTACGTAAATTGCGTGTCCACAATTGTCCACGCAGGTGCCTTCTGTGCAAGAAAGGGCCCCAAAAGGGGCCATATGCAAGAGAACTGACGGCAGCTTGGGGTGTGGAAGAATGGACGCTTGTTCTCTGCTGTCACTGCTATCCGTCACCACTCCAAGTCCAGGGCCATCTTCTTCTGTACAAGATCTGTAGTCGCACTTGCCTCGTAGACACTTTAACACACAGAGGCTTTGAGGGCACTGCAGAATCCAGAAGGCGACTGCAATCATGAAGCTCCACTGTCAGACAAACCAGACTTTACATATTGGGCGAAATATGATCTTCAACACTCAGCCCCGAGCCCTAAACCCAAGCACCTGCAGCCCACCTATAAACACCCAACTTCCGAGAGCCCTGCAATTTACCAATAGCTGAAGCTCTGAAGGACCCTCCCCCCATGGGCTCTTCACCATGACCATCTCGCTGAAAAGCGGGGAGACGTCGATGCCCAAGGTCATATAGGCAATGACCTTCGGCAAAAATGGCTGTCATCTGCTTCGGGTTGGAATTGCTTGGGATTGTGGGGCGCACGGCCGTCAAGCGCAGGCCTTTTTGATAGCATCCCGCTTCTTCTGTTGATCGCGGTCCGCCGACGCACCTGCTAATAGGGCTTCGCACCCGTTGGATATCTGGGTCGAAGTACTGTGCTTGAGGAACTTCACAAGACTAGGGTAGCCTTCTTACTGCAAGTTGAGGAAACCGCACGTCATCACTGGATATTGCTTCCGTTTGTTGGTGTCTGGTGTGTTTGCGCCTTGAGTCGGTAACTGCAAGACTGGGAAATAAATAAACACGATGAACGGACATCCTTGAGGCCAGCAACAAGAAGCGTGACATCACAACCATGGGATCAGCTTCAAATTGCTTCGACCTGAGAACAGATACCGCCAATGCCATCCATGGCTTGTGGCATCGTGCGCCCAGAAGGCAAATGCGGCAAGACAAATCACAACAGAAAAATGGAGGAAGTGGGAAAAAAGGACGAAAGAGCGAATGTCAGAGACTACCCCAAGTGTCGACAGGAAGAAGGGGAAGAAGGTGCAGCGTGTTGGCATCTCTCAGCCTCGAAGCAACTGCCGCAGCTCATGGACCTCGCCCTTCTTCTCGAAGTATCCTGAAAGTGCCCCAAGCGTGAGAGCAATGCGAGGATCAGAAGGAAGGGAATCAAAGGAAGGGAATCAAAGGAATCAACGGCCTTGCCGGCCAAGATTTTGACAGAGGTGTTCAGCATGCATTCTGGAGCATGCAAGATCTTTGCGCAGATGGCAAAGCAGCGGCTGGCCCCCGAAACAAAAAGCAAAAACCCCGATTCGAAGCCAGTCCCGATGGTCTAGGAGGTGGTGGCTGCGCCATTCGCCCAGGCGCGGAGCCCTGCATCAGAGCTGCTTTACCGTTTACAGCCTTTGCAGAGCTGAAGGTCTTTACAGTGTTAGAAAGCCGTGCCCATACCGCAGCGAGAGGGCACGCCTAGCTCGTGCCACCAAGTCACTAAGCCCTATGCCAATCACTCACCGCACCGGGCCGCACCTCTTTCTTGGGGCTTTGGCTGGATGAGCCAAGCTTCGGCTGCCGGACCTCGGGTCTCAGACTCTGTGTGACTCTGTGCGACTCTGTGCACAGAGCAGCTCTGATCTCTGATATGGGCTTTCGAAGCACCCAGGCCCGCACCCGGTTCTTGCGAATTGGCAACTTGCTGGTGTCGCCAACCGCCGCTGCCACCCCCTCACGGACCCGCAAAAAGCAGAGAGAGAGAGAGATGCGGCCCTCGCCTCAACCCTCAGCTGACGCTGCTCAGACAGTTCCAAGTCAAAAGTGAGGCTTGGCTCAGGCCCCAGAGCGCCTCCGTCACTGCGACGGCCTCCAGTCAGGAGACCTCCAGTGCCGCCTTGCAACATCTTGGAACGATGCAAGGGTTCCCACGCGTTCCCACAGGCTCCCTGAATGGCACGTGTCACGTGGGACTGTGTGTGACTCTGTGACCGTGGGAAAGGAAGGCCTTGCCAGTCTCGGAGGGTGCACGCCTCGAGGACGGGGGCGGCTTGATCCAAAGCTGGCCGCCGCCACTCGGCACTCGGACGTCCAAACAATGCAAAACTCACAACCATGCTGGCTTCTATATCTACGAACCTTCTACCTTCCGCGACAGCTTGGTTGAGAGCTCGCGAGCGTTTTTTTCCAGAGAGGGCGGGTTTCTAGATGTTTCTAGACTGTATCGGCTGCTCAGCCAAATTTTTGCCACCTCAGGGCTTTCGCTCTCCGAGGCAGAGAACCTGTGCCACTTTGAGGAAAACTTTGCCTGCTGGCGTAGGGATAGTAGGGCTTGGCAGTCATGGCGTGCACCTTTGTGCAACATGCTCTGTACCCAATGGGCAGTTTAGGCTTAGAGGCCTATAGGGGCGTAGCATAATCATTCTCAGCCACTTGCATTAGCTGCTCTTTCTTGACATGGCTTCTAGCACATGACGCATGGTTGCTCTCACAGGGCGAACATACGCAGACCACCCCAAACTCTGCCAAACTGCCCTCTGCTCTGCTGGTCTGACACAACCAGATCAAGCTTCCTTGAAACCAAGCTTTACAAGTTAACTACGAGTGTCGAGTGCATCAAGCTTTGAAGTCTTACTGGCCATCCACGTCGATGACGTCGTCGTCCTTGCCCTTCTTGGCGTCGCCGGGCGGGGGCGCCCCAGCCTCGCCGGCATCGCCGGCCGCTCCCTCGGGCGCCGGGGCGCCGCCGGTGTTCGCGTAGGCGGCCTGGCCGACCTTCATCAGCTCCTCCTGGAGGTCCTTGGTCATGGTCTTGAGGAGCTCAGTGTCGGGCTCGGCCTCACCAACCTTGTCCTTCAGCGCCTGCAGCTTGGGGTCGATGCTGGCCTTCAGGTCTGCAGGCACCTTGTCGCCCAGGTCAGACAGCTGCTTCTCGGTCTGGTACACCAGGCTCTCCGCGTTGTTCTTGGTCTCGACGGCGTCCTTGCGCTTGGCGTCGTCGGCAGCGTTGGCCTCGGCATCCTGCACCATCTTGTCGACATCCGTCTTGTCCAGCGTGGAGGATCCAGCGATGGTGATCGTCTGCTCCTTGCCTGTACCACGGTCCTTCGCGCCCACGTTGAGGATACCGTTGGCATCAATGTCAAAGGTCACCTCGATCTGCGGCACGCCTCGCGGCGCCGGCGGCACGCCGTCCAGGCGGAAGGTACCCAGGATCTTGTTGTCCTTTGCAAACTGCCGCTCGCCCTGCAGCACCACGATCTCCACAGACGGCTGGGAGTCCGTGGCGGTGGAGAAGACCTGCCAGGTCAGGTGTCTCAGTCCTAGCTGGCTTGCCCAGATGTTGCAGCAAAATCTTGCCCCCCGCCCGTCGCCCCAACCCCCGCCCCCACCCCCACCCTTGCCTCTGTCTTCTTGGTGGGAATCGTGGTATTCCGAGGGATGAGCACTGTGGCCACTCCGCCCAGTGTCTCGACGCCCAAGGACAAGGGCGTCACATCCAGAAGGACGATGTCCTTCACGTCACCCGCCAGGACACCAGCCTGCACGGCCGCACCCACAGCCACCACTTCGTCCGGATTCACGCTCTGGTTAGGCTTCTTGCCACCCACCAGCTCCGACGCCAGGGTCTGGATGGAGGGAATTCGGGTGGAGCCACCCACTAGCACAATCTCGTTGATGTCGCTAGCACTCAGCTTGGCATCCTTCATGGCACTCTCGACTGGGCTCCTGCGCGGCCCGAGTGAGCAAAGTGGTGTCATGTTATGTATCATGCTGCGTATCATGCTATGACAGGACGCACCAAGCTTCGCTCGCGCATTTACAAACTGCACCACTCATCACCTCATAACAAGCTTCCCCCAGGGGTCTTGCAGCGAGTGATGAGCTTGCTGGCCAGCTGCTCGAACTTGGCCCGGGAGAGGCTCTGCTCGATGTGCTTGGGGCCCGTGGCATCGGCGGTGATGAACGGGAGGGAAATCTTGGCCTGACAGCTTCGCAAGACAAAATCGCAGGACGCGAAGCGAAGCAGGCTTTGGATCAAGCACGCGGCTTGTACACCCAAGCTGGCGCACCTCCTGCACGCCAGACAGCTCGATCTTGGCCTTCTCGGCGGCCTCGGTCAGGCGCTGAAGCGCCTGCTTGTCCTTGAGGAGGTCGATGCCCTGAGCGGAGCGTACACAAATCTAGGCTGGACTGCCAACGTTGGCCTATGTTGGCGGATTCTTGATGACTCCTGCACGTGATAAGCGAGCAAGGACGTGCTTCCGAGAGATCTAGGCGCTTTACCCTTGCAGTCAACTGCTTTTGCGGCTGAGCCGTTGGCTTTGTAGTCACTGGCTTCTCTAGGAGGCTTGCTCTCCCAAGCGTACTGCTAAGTGTCACGTGCGCTTCCAGGCACCAACCCCAACCAACAACCACGTGAGGCAACAACATCATGCGTCCCACAGCGCCTCGGTCTTCTGGAAGTCTTCCGCCAGCCAATCCACGATGACCTTGTCGAAGTCGTCACCGCCCAGATGGGTGTCTCCGTTGGTTGCCAGCACCTCACAAACGCCGTCCCCAACCTCCAGCACGGAGACATCGAAGGTGCCGCCGCCGAGGTCGAAGACCAAAATCGTCTCGTTGTTCGCCTTCTCCAGGCCATATGCCAAGGATGCAGCGGTGGGCTCGTTGACAATCCGAAGGACATCCAATCCGGCAATCTTGCCTGCATCCTTCGTGGCCTCAGTCGCTTGGCTGGGCGTGGCAAGCCACGAAACAGCACCTCCACTATCCATGACACCTTCTGCGACCCTCACACAGACAATTGTTCATGAGCTCATGAACCAGCACCGCCACCTTGATTTGCTACACTATGCTACACTGCTACACACTGCTGCACGGTGCCTGACGCTGCGAGTCGTTGAAGTAAGCCGGCACCGTCACGACGGCCTGTGCCGAGGCCACAAAACTGCACCGGGGCTTGGACAGGGTTGGACTTGGAGATAGCCAAGCAGTTTGACCACTCGGAAGCAGCCCGCCTTCTGGACGGTGGCACTCAAGTACGTGCCGGCATCGCCGCTGAGCTTGCGCAGCACCTGTGCAGAGATCTCCTCGGGGGCGAACTTCTTGCTCAAGACTGGGCAGTCGATCTTCACCTTCTGACCTTCGAAGTCCACCTGGTAGGACACCTCCTTCAGTTCTTCCTTCACCTCACCCGGCTGGCGGCCGACAAAGCGCTTCACGGAGTAGAAGGTGTTCTCCGGGTTCACGACAGCCTGCTTTGATCCAGTGGAGGAGCAAGACCGCAGGAAACAGCCAAGTGAGACAGTAGCCGAGTGCATCAGTTACAAACATCACCCATAAACATGTGCGCGAGCCGTGCGCCTGGCGCTTGGCGATCTGCCCCACGAGCAGCTCACCACTCTTGGAGTAGGCCACGACGCTCGGCGTGGTGCGGGCACCCTCCGCATTGGGGATCACGGTGGGGGTGCCGGCCTCCGGACAAAGCACACAAGACCCAACCACAAGATGACGAGTCACGGAACCCAGCTGAGCTTTCGAAGACACCACACTCCGGCACACCCTCATGCTGGAGTGTTCTTGTGGTCACTCGGCTGCCTCCATGGCAGCCACTGCGGAGTTGGTGGTGCCCAGGTCGATGCCCACCACCTTCTCACCAGGGGCCACTTCCGCGCGCGCAGCGACCTGCAAGAACCAGACGCGGAGGAGGCATGCAGCACCCTGCACTGAGCCTCAGGCCCCAGCTCTGCTGGCCCGGGTCTTCCGCCGTGTGGACGCTGCCACGGCACCTGCGGCCGTGGCCGCCGCCGCGCCCACGGTGAAGGCGCTGCCTCAGTGGGAAGCGTTGCAAGTTACGGCACGGCTACAACTTCTAACTTGACAGATGTTGCCAGCCTGCTTCCGTGGTGGAGGCTACCTTCACAAAACAGCATTCTGACCGTTACAGCACGGCCTCCTGACGACCTGCAATTAGAAGCGATTAACAGTGATTGTGCACAGGCCTTGGCCGAGGCCACAGAGACATCTGCGGTTGGCACACGGCGGTTCGCAGAATCTGAGCACTTGAGGCGACTCTCAGAGTGAGAGAGCATTGTGAGTTACGACATGTTACGACAGTTCTGATCCCTGCCTGGGCTGATCACGAAGCTCAGCCTGGCACGGCACCAAGACAGTGCCATCTTTCCAGGTTCGCGGTTCCGAGCTGCCGGCCCAGCCAGGCCGGCACAGGCCACGGCCGCTCCAGCCTTCTTGGAAGCCATCGCCTGGGTGCCACGTGGTTTCGAGAGTTTCGAGGTGTGTTCTACTTCCTCGTGTACTTGCCACAGTACCCAGGCTCTCGGGGTGCTTTTGCAGCGAACTGA